GAAAGTAAAACTTTTATGAAGCTCAGTTTTGAACCATTTCCTGTTTGGTTTCAGGGGATGTTCAGCCTGAGCGGAGCGTTCTTGGAGACTCTAGATGTTCTAAACGGCAACTATTTGATGTTTACACTGAGAGGAGAACCTTTTCCTGTACAATCCCAAAGCAGCAGGCAAGCAGATGAACAACTGCAGCATGATGCGTCTCTCAGGGGCTCAGGCGGGTTTTTTTTATCAGAACTTTTTTTATTTTATTTTTTTTTTAAGAACAATTTCTAAACCTGTCAATTGATCTTTTCTTCCTCCATCCATGAGGAGCCAGGAGGGGCTGAGCTTTTAATCAAGGTCATTTTTCTTTAAAGGAGTTTGTTGAAAAGGGTGATTCAAAAAGAACATTTCTGCACAGACTAAAAAAAGCAGCTAAAGCACAAAACCTGCAAGAAAAGCCTTTCTGTTGTACATATCAAGGTGCTCATTTTGAGCCTGGATCCATATTTATTTTTGATTATGTTCATGGAGAATCCTGCTTCACAGCAGTAGGTTGAGCCAAACATACTCAGAATGTGCAGGGTCATCTTTGAGCACGCTATTATACTTTTCTTCCACCAGTTCACCGCAGTTCTTCCAGCAGTCCACACTTTCTCTGATTTCTTTTTCTCTCCGTCTTCTCCTTCTTCACCATCGCCCGGCTTGCCATGGGGTTTGCCTGCTGTGTCTAAACGTAGCAAGCAGCAGCAACCCAGACTGACAGCTCATTGGCTAATTTGTATCACGTGCAGCCTGGTGCCGGACGCTCCGGAGGGCTTTACCGTACAAACAGGAGAAGCTGCGCAAGTGAAGTTAGACACTGTAGTCTGACAACATGTTGTAATTTATAATCGTTTTAAATCAGGTTGGGTCCAGATTAGCCAGCAGGGGGGCCTGGATCTGGGCCGCGTTCTGCTAATCCATGACCTCTGTTCTAATGGATAAAAGACTGCATAATCTCTGAGAATCAGAATAATGAATCCTTATTATATATTTATTTTTTCAGCTTTTTTATTGGCATTACACTGTCACAAGTACAGAGAAATAAAATGAATTCTGCATTCAACCCATCCCCTTGGGGAGCAGTGGGCTGCCATTGTGTGGCGCCCGGGCAGCAGTGTGGGGTTAAGGTAGAAAGCCACAGTGGCAGTCTATGGGAAGGAGTGCGACTTGAACTCAGAACCTTTGGATTCCAAGCACAATGCCCTAACCAATAGGCCACCACTCCCCCAGATTTAACCTTGCAATGTGTTTTAAACTAGAAAAGCCAGGAAAGATATATATATTTAAAATTTTTTAAGATGTAAACCATTTTAAATGGGGAAAAAACCCTAAAAGAATATGAAGAATAATCAAACATACAGCATACTTCTCTGGTTTTCACACAGTACACACTATGCATTCAGGACAGGTTCAGAAAAGGGTTTAATTGAATAAGCATCATGTCTGCAGGCAGCACTGATGGTCTGTGGATGCAGTCAGTCATCCAAAAAGCAGAATGACAGAGCAGTTTAATGCAGCCTGACTCTGGAAAACTGCAAAACATGAGCATATGGCTGGATGTGTCCATATGTCTCACTGAGGCTCATAACCGAGTCAAAACCACAAGAGAAGTAAACAAACATCACTGCAGACACACGCACATGAAAGCAGGCAGAGCGTAAATAAGTGGGGCGGCGGTAGCCCAGAGGTGAAGGACAGGATGTAGGGGGGCGTGCATGCATACTGCAGAGGTATGTTCCAGCTGCAGCGAGAAGCTGATGTGTCTGAGAGGCAGCTGCTGGTGTTAATGTATGTAACCATGCGAAAAACAACCAGAGGGGCTCAGAGGATATTTAACTCAGTCACTTTTAGACTTTTTATACCAAATACAAAAACCTGACAGATTAAATGAGAACATGAACTCTGGAAGCTGCAGATGTCCAACTATCCTCTTTAAAGTAAAAGTCCGGTCAGCAAGGAATAATAAATGGATCATTATCTATACCAAAAACAAATATGTTCACTGTGATTTATTGAATTTAGATTTAATCATAAAAAAATTTGAAATAATAATTTTCATTGTGATCACTGAGTCCAGGACCGGCTATAGTCACAGTGCGGTAAGCCTAGCGCCATTCTCCCCGCTTTACAAGCAAAATCAATTGGAACTACTAGACACATCTACAAACAGCAACAATTATTTAAGATTTCCAGAGGACTTCACCATTGAAATTCGCGAGAGCTATAGTTAAACTGACAATGCCCACCTGCATGGGAATTGGATGTTGCAATACATCGGGTAAAAGTGAATTTTTTTTCACTTATTTCACCTTTCCGATTCATTAGATTAGATTAGATGAGCTTTATTGATCTCACAGCAGAGAAATTCAGTCGTCACATATTGGCATGATAGTTAAAGAAGGTGCAAACAAGGAGGAAAAAGGTGCATTAAGAAGAATAAACAATATATATATATATATATATATACAGTATATCCAGTTGTATACAGTATATCAAGATAAATAAGGATTAAGGTGCAAGTGTACATGTATTGCACACAATGAATAGTAAAATACAATAAAAATAAGTGATAAAAAATAAAAAAGATAAAAAAAAATACAAGGTAGTAGCACAGAGTTTTGAGGTGTCATATGTACAATCTGGATGGCTTATATACAGGTGGATTTACTTTAACGTTAAAGTGTAGTAGGTAAGGAACAACGGTGAGGTAGTGGTATGACTATGCTATTCACATCTATTGCACATTCAGCATATTGCAAAGAATATAGGACAGTCAATAAATAAAAAACTATAATATATATTCATGATCCACCACGGGTTGGTTGTTGGATCGCCAACTTGAAGAGGTAGGATCTGCCATTGAACTTCTGGCCAGAGTAAAAACACGTAATATGTGGGCAACATTTCGAAGAAGAATTTTTTCAAGATGACTTGGATAATAGCGCGTTGTGACAAACACCAGATACAGCACTGGGACTTGATCAACAGCCGATACCGCACCGTGACGTCACAAAACGGTAGATAGCAGTAGTGTTCTTTGACAAACATGGATGCCTCCAGTAAAGCACATTCAAATGAAATAACTCTTAATTAAAAACACTTATCATTTATTGAACAGTATGTAATAATTTCACATTTAAAACACTTTCAGAAGTTCTGAATATGACCAGACTTTTCTGTTAAAGCCTCAGTTGGGAAATCTGCCATTGAACCAGAATCCATTGTCATTAGAACAGTTTCATGACTGATCGACCTTCAGTGACCAAAGGCACTAAAGCGGAAAAGGTTTCAAATTTTATGTTTTTTAAATCTCTAATCTGGGTATTGAAAGAGGCATTATTTTTTAAATCAAATTTGTGGAAAAGGAGAAGCGCATATCTAAAGCTGCAGTGTGCCATAATGTAATTTTTTAAAAATAAGTATATTATTATCAATGAGCTGAAAGACACAATCTTTACGTCTGCGTTCCTTAGAAATTGCCGTTTATTATCACATAGAGGCAGGTCTCCCAATTATGGAGGCAGACATCTTTGCTGTACGGCAGCTCAGAGCTGACAAACTAGTGACTACAAAGATCACAATCACGCTCAAAAAAGGACTGCAGCAAGTTAGGCCTGTGGAAAATCTATATTCTATAGATTAATAAAATTATCTATGCAAACAAGTATCGACATCCCTTGATTAGATGGGTGATGCAGACGTTGCGGCAGCCATTTTGTGCCATAATGGCCTCTGTGCAGTCTGAAAAGATGTTGCTGAAAATTACATATTTTAGCTTTAAGTCTAATTTACTGGAATAAATAAAGCTCTTTAATTAAGAGAAAAATAACATAAGATTCAGAAACGTTTTTACAGTTAAATGAAAACTAAAACAATTTTAAGCAGCTGGTTTTAAAATTCATGAATAAAACACATTCTACCCAACCAGGAGCGTATGAAAACGTTGTTTCCACCATCCTTACGTTATTGTAGCTGGGACTATGAATTTATGGACATATGTTGTAAAATGATTGTATCTGAATTCCAGAAAAGATAAAAAACAATCCACTGGACTTTGTTTCCAGCTTTGAAGACGTTTTCCTTCCCATCCAGGAAGCTTTTTCAATTCGCAGTAAGTTTGAAGCTTCATATAGTAGCCCGAAAACTTGTTTTGGCTTAGAAAACATGCAAATTGAATCAGAAGAATGGGTCCGACTCGTTCCCTAGGGAAGGGGAGTCGTTCGGGTTCTTAGTTAGCGTACAATACTCGATACTGGTCTATGCCTCTAAAAGGGTGGTCATTAAGGAGATTGTTAGCCTGGCTGCCCTGGTGAGATGTTTTGTCCCCTGCATGGGAGCGGGGGGTGAAAGTAATAGCGGGAAGGAATCAACTCTATCGCTGCATTGTAAGTTTTTGAAGGCTTAAACCCGAGTCCACCCCCTTATCAAAAATGGCTTCCTTTACCCCCCTTTCAAACCACCTGTCTCCTTTGCCCAAAATGTGAATATTCTGGGCCTCAAATGTAGCATTTTATCTGAATACCATATTAAAATATTTTCAAAATTAATCAGAAAATAAAACTCCAGGATCTATTCTATACATATGAAATTCCTGAAAATTGTGAACATCTTAAATGGTTTCTAAACACTTATTTTACTACAAAAAAATAAAGTCCCACTTAGTTAACTTATTTCCAGTTTTCCGTAGCATTTTGTGTAATTAGTCTATCCAGTGAACTTTTGACATTTTCTACCAGGTCTTGGACTCTGGGCTTTTGGGCACCTCACTAAACCATGGGCTAATCACCTCCGTGTAGCATGGGGGAAAGAATTAATGGAAAATTAACAAAAAGCAAACTAAAAGAGTTTTTAGAGAGCTAAAACATCCATATGAATTGTAGCTTTTATTGGCTATAATCCTCAAAATGCAGAGATATGATTCAAATTGATTCCACTAGAGCTCAATTAGAAATTAAACAAAACAAACAGCCAGAAACTTCTGAAAAGTTATTCTTTTATTTATATTTTACAATCCTTTTATCATGGTTATGTCAATATTTACTTTTTCCACACTTTGAAAGTGTCATTATTTCATGCTGTCTGACGACAACAACAACAAACAGAGAAACAAAAATGAACAAAACAAAAAGGAGAAGTTTAAAGAATGAGAGTCTATTCAACACTTTTTGACAAGAAGCAGAGAGAGAGATTCACATTTGGGCTCGAGCTCTCATCCCGTCCACTCGTCAAAAATCAGTAAACAAAAGAGGTTTAAAAGCAGGACTGTCAGTCAAGTGAACAGGTGTCGGGGTTTTGTGTCTGGTCTTCTAGTTTTGGCCTTTAAAAATGACCCAAACTCCCGTCCAGAAGAAAGCGAACTTTAAAAAGTTTCCCGGTTTTTTTTTCTCTTCAATCCTTAAAATGATTTTCTTACTTCGGGACAAAGAAAATGTAATAAACAATCTACCACAAGGAATACAAAATAAAACAATGGTTTCTCTTTCAACAGCTGCTCCAAACATTGGAGAATATTTGTTTTGTTTGTCTATTTTTTATTTCAATAAAAAAAAAGTTTATTTCTTGAAATGAAAAAGGGAGTACAAATACAAGCAAATGCTTCCCAAATGAGGCCCTAATGAAAACGGATGTACTGCTGCTGAAAGGTTACTTGCTTGTTGTGCTGGCTGATACATTTCCTCAAAAAAATCGGTCGACTGAATACTTCCTGAGAAATAAAGGAAATATCTACCTGGCATGAAGAGGACGAGAGGAGCAGTGTGACAGAGAAGGAGGGAATTGGACTAAAAGGAGCCGGAGGACAGAGCGTCGGGGATGTATCATGAGGGAGAGTTTATTTTCAATTAAAATGGATGGATCAGAGTGTAAACATGAAACCTGTAGGACAGAGGAGGAGTGGGCAGCACTGCTGGTGTTTGTGCTCTTTGGCACAGAGAAGAGGAAGAGGAGGAAGAGGAGGAGGAGGAGGAGGAAGGGAGCCGGGCTTGTATGAGCAAAGCAAATCTGGCTGCTGATAACATCCAACACCTGCACCACTCTTCACACCTGGAGCTTTTAGGCTGAATATGATCTAGTCCAGCTAACAGGTTCTCTTTTTGCTGTTTGGAATCATCAGAAAGGAGAAAACATGTCTGAAAATGTTCCCGCAAAGAGGGAAACGTCCCATTTGGCTCTTAACTCACCATTTCCTTATTGGGATTCATTGCAAAAGGCTAAAATGTTCCTCCTGAAACCTCTACAGGGTGGAGTTCAGAGCAGAGTGGGTAAAGCCTGCTCTAAATGTAACATCTCAAACCCACAGTCCATCAAGGAAGCTGCAGGTTTACAGCAAAGACGGATTAATTGCTGCTCTGTAAACATGATCTCTTTCGCCGAAACACCCACAACAAAAGCAGGTGAATAAACCAAACGATGGGGAGAGAAAACAGGGTCTGGGGTTTTAGTCTTTGCATGTAAAAGACGACATACATCTGGGCTCAGCAGCATAAAAAGTTGACTTTTTGGTTCTGATGGATCAGTTTGTCTTCCTGGATCAGTAATGATGCCATTTTTGTTTTATATGCATTTTATTTTTTTTTTTTAGATTTGAAGCACGTGTGTAGGTTGGATGAAAATCTTTGATTTTGTGTTTTTAATTTTATTAAAGCAGGCGGGTTGCTCTGATTCACCGTCTGACTCCACCAAGAAGAGGAACAAAGGTCTGAGACCAACAAACTCATTTCCAGATAAGTTTATCTGCCTTAAAACTGAAAAAAGTGAGTTAAGTTCAGGAAGGACATTTTTTCTTTCACTGTTTTGTTTCAGCTTCTCCATCCTGCAGTGAATAAATCCACATAAACGGATCCGCCAGAGGAAAGAGACCTGAAGTTTGTTCTATTTCTGTCAGACGGTTTGGCGGCTGTGAAGTAACGCTGCCCACCACCTAACAGTCGGCTACCGGCAACTCTCCACCACAGGCCTGACGGAAGTAAAGCAGGGCAGGATAAATTTGGACCTCACAAAATGCTCTTTGGGCTTTTAAAAAGGAACACGACCAGGCGAGCGAGCGAGCGAGGCCTGTGGTGCCACCTACCATAAGTGGTTCCCCACACCGGAGCGGCGCTGAGATTAACGGAAAGGTGAAGGCAGGTTGTTAAAGCGAAAACAAACACTCCGGGAAGCAACAGGGTGGAACCTCAATGTTTTCTGTTTAAATTTAACAAGTGAAAACCTCTTCAATCACTGATGAGGATGTAAATTCAGATTGTTTGTGGAAAATGGTTTGTTTTTGTTAAGTTGCTTATTCTGATCCTGCTGTGTAACAACAGCGCAGCAATCTGCTGCACCTCATGTAGGTGACTTCCTCAGCTGCTTTTAGAACCAAGCATCTGAGGGAATTTAGCTCATTCTGTGATTCACCAAACCTCTGTGGTCCTCATGGGACCGAGGGAGAGTAAAGTCGGCGTTAGAGGATGAAAAAAGCCGAACTGATTACAAAATGTGTTTCATGTCTGACTGCTGATGAAGAAGGCAAATAAAATATGAAAGAGGTATAGAGGAGAAGGAGATGATAGGGTTTGATGGACTGTCAGTGTGAGGATGGTAAGGCAGGGTTGGAGGGTCAGGTGGGAGGAAGGGGGCTAGCAAACCTGGCAGCCCCCCCTTCCTCACCCCGACTCCGGCCATTCGGTCTCCTTTCCCCAGGAGAGCTGAGGTCAAATCCAGGAATATCAGCAGGCGGATCACCAGTCTTCATTGGTTTGTTTCTGTTCATCTCTTAAGTCCCAGCTGTCTGTCTGTCTGTCCGCCGTGTCACTGGAGGTCTCGGTCCTCTAGGTACCGGTACTCAAAGGTAAAGCCCTCTTTTTTCCGCTGGCCCCACTTCTCATAGTCAAAATAAATGTATGTTCCCTAAAGGGAAGAAAACAGTAGGAAAAATATCATGATCTGCACAGAGTGGTGCTCAACACATCTACAGTCTATTACTATTACAACAGATGACACACAATGGCTTTGCAGAGACATCCAGGGTCAGATATCACCATTTCCTTCATACTTTAATCTAAATTCATGCTTTTCTAAAGTTCAAAGACTGAGCTAAATGATTAACCAAATTTACTCTGCCTGGTCTTTAATTACCTCATTTTGCTGGTTTTAAGTCCTGTGAGGTTTTCTGATAATGTTTGACTGATTGTTGACTAATTTACCCTCTGACTGTTGACTGTGACTCCAGACCTACCTGCTCATACTCATCAGTGATGGTCTTGGGCTCTTCGTGCCTCTGAAACCACATCATGTACTTTGTATGGAACCTCCATGACTGCTTCTTCAGGGCCTTGGCTGCAAGATACTGGGCCTTAGTGCCCTGCACAGAGAGGAGGAAAGTAATGAGGGAAAGGATGCTACGTGTTAAGAGTTTATTTTTAGGTAACCCAAGTTTCTCTGCTGTTAATTAAAAAGGTCTGAAAAATCTAAGATGAAGAGAAATTTACTCTGGTGTCCAGGATGTTCTTTAGCTAAATTAAACAAACAAATAAGATGGTAATTAGAAGAGGCTTACCTCCAGGTAGTAGAAAATGAAGAACAGCGTTTCTGTGGAAAGCCTCTGGTAAAACTCTACAGTGTCGGAATGGGGCGGAGGCATCTGGTGGTGGACGGGTGGGGTGGGGCAGGGGTTCCTCATGAGGTACTGCCTGGAGTGGCAACACAACATTAAATCCATCAGGAGGGGAAAGTTTGAACATATCAGAACAGATTGGAAATAAAAACTGGAATCAAATGACATATTTTAAAATGTGAACATCTTTGAAAACAAAAGAAAATGCTTGTTAAGTACAAAGTCAGGTTCAGTCTGTACTCACAACACTAATGGGGTGAGAAAAAAAATGTAGGAGGAATTAAGAAAGTGTTGGAATCTGTTTGGATGAATCTGGTGATGAAAACTCTGGCTGGATTTGATCTAAAGGTGTTTATTAGCTTTTTTTAACCCTTACTGTTTTCACACCTGATCTGGTGCTGCAGGATTGTTTCTGCTCCTGACAAAGGGCTGCTGTTCAGTCTAATATAGAAATAGTTTTTTTCTTATTAATCAATTTCTTTTCTGTCCCTTTGCTATTTTTCTTTCTGCTCCCTCTTGCCGATCCAGTTATTAAGTGTTTAAGTTGTTTGTAAAATAAAAAAAGTTTCAATAAAGAAAAACAAAACACATTTCTACAAACTGAAATGTCTTTAAATAAATGCTTAGTTACATGAAAGTAGAAGAAACAAAATATAAAAATGATAAAACTAAAACATTTTACAAAAACTATGATAAAATAATTAACTCCATAAATCAGTAAATAAACCCTATGCCCCAATGTGGAGGTACAATGCATCATTATCTAAGGTTTAATTTAATGTCTGATGTTCTTGGTTCTACAGTGCATCATAAAATCATCTGAACTACAAATTCAGCTTTAGAAACAGATTGAAAAGGTTAATTTTTGCTTCAGTTTTTTGCTCCCAGTGGACAGTTTGAAAAAAAAACTGTAGTGTTTTATTTTCTAAAATGTTTTTTTCTTCTTTTTTTGTGCTGATTTCCTTGAAACTTTTATTGTTTTACATATTTTGGGGGGTATTTTGTGAATCTGAATGCTTTTATATGCTGATTTGCCTTTAAAAACTGACACACCTGGACGCACTAACACCCGTGGGGAAATATGCTCTGTTCGATGTAAAAGTGCAGATTGGTCACCTGGTGGTGACCCAAGTGAACTGCAGCACATATCTAAATGATCAAAATTAAGGTTATTTATTTATTTAATTAATTGAATAAAAAAAAAAAAAATCAAAAAAAAAAAAAAAAAATTGAATTAATGAATTGAATTTTATTTAATTGAATTTAAAAAAAAAATTTATTCTAAATATTAACCTTATTTTTACATGTTATTCACTACCTGGCAATGTTTGCAATTCGTTCTGCTGTTCCTCCTTTCCAACCACAGATGAATCCCTGTTTGTACTCTAAATATCCCTGCACCAACATAATAATGAAGGTAAATTGAAATATATATATATTTAAATTATTTTTCCAAAATTATTTCTCTTTTTTCACTGAAAATTAAAACACTGTGGAAGCAGAGAAATGTTGAGTTTGAACCTGTAACACCTTTAATAAATGATAACTGACTGCTGTGAGCAGTTTACTGCACCTGATTCTCTCCGAGTCGGACGGGTGGGGCATGTGCGTCCACGTCGCTTCCTGCATGGCCTGTTGGTAGAGCTGGTCTTTGGAGAGGGGAACCGGCCCCAGCGGACAGACGCCCAGCGATGGCAGGATGCTGACCTCTGACAGGGAGGACTGAGGTGCTGACGGGGGCCCTGACGGGGCCGTAGTGCTGCTTGGGAAGTTGTCTGAGAACAGATGGAGGAAGAATGAGGGAATGAAAGGGTGGGGGTGGAGGGAAGAGGCAATGCAGCGGGAGGAGAAACAACGAGACATAAAGTTGAGTCAGGGGTGATTATATCGGCTGCAGTCTTTGTTCAGAAGAGGCTGAGAGTGGGAAGGGAGATGACATTTAGTTCCATTAAATCTGCTGCTCTTCGGTGTGAATCCTACCGGAAGTAAGGTGCAGGGAGGACACGTCTCCCTCAATCCCTGAGCTTGGTGCTGCTCGCTCGGCCATGGATCTGCTCAGAGGCTCCTAAGGATGACGAGGACAGACAAGGACATTCATGAGAACACGGATCTCCTGCATGTCTGTGCCGAGTTGGTTATCATTAACCTCTTCACTGATCAGGTTATCAAAATGTGTTTAGATTCAAGTTTTATGGTGTTTTTATTTTACTTTACTTTTCTTATTATGGATGTTTTTGTCCTTTAAATCTAAACATTTCACAGTCTCTCCTTTTTTACTGAATTAGAAACAAAACCATCAGCCCGCCACTCTAGTCAAAGACCCAAGGCCACAAAACAAGCCCTCATTATCACCCCCCACCCACCATGCTGGACAGTTTGTTGTGATATGATCACTCTGACACCGTTCCTAAAGTGCTGTGGTTCATTTGCAGTCCTTTTATGGAACCTGAAGCTGTGCTTCCATTGTCCACATTTATACAGAAACTCTCCCAGACGAACACGTCTTACAACCATCATACTGTCCTCCTAATATTTTAAATTCTGAGGCCTGTGGAGAGAAATTATGCTTTAACTTGAATAACTATTTCAGGCTGTTCTCGATCAGGGAAATCTGAAGATGGGACGTATGTGAATGCAGGAGTGGACACAGATTAGCCAATGAAGGAGATGAAGAGATTTCTGGCTATGATAAATTTAATAGTTTACAGTCACACCGTTAAAATCCCACCATGATCAAACTGGTTTGGCTGCAGTCTGATACTGTTTTCTCACCTTGATGCTTTCAGATGACAGCGAATAGGACAGCGGCCCATTCTGAAGGCTTCCGCCACTCGCTTTAGCTTCGCTGTAGGCAGCAGGCGACGGGGAGGTGGACGACAAACCCATGGAGCTAAGCAAACTGGGACCAGTGTCCTTACTGGGAAGGAGGAACAGTGATGTAATCAACTGTTTGAATTAGCTTAGCTACAATTTAATAAAAATGCAAGTAAAAAAAAAAAATTAACTAAAGAATGAAAACATGAAAGAATTTAAAGATGAAGAGAAAACAGCCAAAAGTTTTTTTTTTGCTTCTGGCAGTGAAAGAACTTACAGCTGATTGGCTGTGGAGGTCAAAGATGAGGACTGGCTGCTTTGTGATTGGCTGGCACTGTTCAGGGTGGAGTCTGTTATGCTATCTGGTACCAAAGCACTGTGACCTGCTAGAAACAGAGTTAATGGTACAAATAAATAAATGTAGAAATCTTGACAAGGCGCCGATTAAAGACAACAGATGTCAGAGCAAAAGAAGATCTGATTAGGGATTAAAATAATCCATGATTAGCGATTAAAAAAATAAAAATCATAAAACCATTTCAGATGACATGTTACTGCTTTATGCAGCATACAGGCTGGAGGTAAATTACACTTTTAGGGTTTGTGTATTAATGAGGTAATTTCTATATGCTGTGGTGTCGCTGTTCAAAGCTATCCTGATTTTTTTTAACCTCTTCACACCGCCTTTTTAAGTAAACCTTTAAGAAATACACACAATAGTTGGTTAGACAAATATTCAAACTGCTATATTTTGTTTAAAAAATGACTTTATCTTTGTTTTGGTCTTGTATTTTAAGTTTTGGATAAAACTATGTAAAATCAGCACCATTCATTACATGCTAACTCGCAGGCTAACACACATTATTACACAGGTTACAATGTGAGTGACTGAAAAACTGTCTTAAACAAACTTTCTTAATGACATTATAATCTATTGAAATAATATTGAGATATGCAAAGCATTTTACTTTTTTTGAGGAAAAAAAAGAACTATATTAATTGAAAATTTAATCTGAAAGACCAATAAAAAAGCTCTGAATGTCAGCTCTAAACATTTCTGCATGTCACTCCAGAGCCTTTATTGTAATGATTCTTAAGGCAAAACAATGTAAATCTCTGCCACTAGGGGCGCTAGTCCTGTAACCTCCAGGTTTCTCTGCTTGAGAGCAACTGGCAACGCTGCACAGTGGAAAAATGAACCAGTCTGACCCCAGTAGACCAGTTTGGAAAAGTAGACTGGCAATTTATCAAGTTGCCGATAAATAAAACGCTATATTCGCCTCTCTAGATGTATGTCTGATGAGGTTAGTGTCGTGTCTGGCTTGTTGCCTTAAAACATTTTAGCTAACTTTAGGTGTATAAGGAGAGCTCAGACTGCTTTAAACCGGCGCTGTGAGTCACATGACTCATTCAGCGACGGGGACGGCCCCTGCAAGTTACACAGGTGACTTTTTTTAAGGGTAGCCACACTAAGTGTCATAAGAATGAGCTGAATCTTCCCTGTGGTGAGGCTAATGAGCCTAATCTCCCGAACCCATTTATCTATTTTTGCATATTTATTTATTTTTGCACTGCTCTGAACCAAATCAATGCCTTTTGCACCATGTCTCTCCTACACTGTTTACAATTTGAAAACTACTGCATTTTATTATAAATGCTCATTGACTGTAGAAAAGCTGTATGTATCGGAATTTGGTTTTGCATACACTGTGTATACAAAATGACAATAAAGTTTGTCTAAGTCTGTGTCAGTTTGAATTTCATGTAATGGATTTCTTTCTCCCGATTATTCAGAGCAGATGGTGAACCATGGCAGATTATCAAATAAAATATATATCAGTGGAATATGTGCACATGTCAGAGGATCAGGGAATATCCATCACTCGACCTTTAGATGAATGTGTTTGGGTGGGGGTCAGATACTCACCTGTGCTATTGCTCTGCTTCTGCCGGCTTGGCGGTTGAATGGACAGAGATGAGCTTCCTCCTCCGACTCCACTTCCTATGGATCCTAAGCTGCCTCCGTTGCTGCCGATAACTCCTAGTCCGCCTCCAGGAGCTAAGCTCCCAACGGGGCTCTGCGACCCTATAGAAGACCCCTGTCCCACTGATTGACCCGAACCCAAACCCAGAATCCCTGAGCCGACACTGCCCACAACAGGTGCCGTGCCGAGCACGCCTCCCTGCGAGGACGTCGGCCCGCCGACTGCCATGCTGCCGCTACCGATGACACCCACCCCGCTGTTGGTCGATGTGGAGCTGATTCCGCCCAGAGAGCCTGGCAAGCTGGAGCTGCCGGTGCCTGCGGCGGCCGCCTGAGCGTAGGGGGCTGGGGTGGGGCTCGACAGAAGGCCCACCACTGTGCTCAGAGATGCCGGCATCCCTGACAAGCCGGGGCTGCTGGAGATGGAGCCTTTCCCCAGAGAGGACCCCAGGTTGAGGCCGAGGCTGTTTGAGGTCGCCGTAGAACCCGACGGCGTGAAAGGCTGGGAGTTCGAGGGGAAGAGCATCTGTGTGCTGGGTGGAGAGGACGCTGAGGAGGTGCTGTGGCTGTTGGTGGAGGAGCTGGAGTTTGAGATGGGAGCAGAAGAGCTCGCTGCGTTTTTGGCCTGCTGCTGCTGCTGCACAGAGGGGTGAGGCAGCTGCTGCGTGGCGTTACTGTAGCTGCCAGCTGAAGTGTTGGAGAAAGGACCCCCTACGGCGCTTTGATGACCGCCGCCCGCGCTGCCGATACCTCCGCCAGCAACAGAGACCAGAGAGGACGAGGTGAGCCCCGAGGCGGAGGAAGACGAGGAGGAGGAAGAGGAGGAGGAAGATAAAGACAAGGAGGGATTTCCATTCTTCACTGGAGACTGAAAAATAAAAAAAAGGTTTCATACAGCTTACTAAGTAGAAGACTTTCACAAACGGTGATTAACACTCCAATAAAAAACTAGAACAAAAACAGGCACAGAAGTCAGAGGTCATAACACAAAAATACAGATTATGTCCATAAGTTAGCATCAATTTATCTGAAATGCAGCCATTTAACTTAAATGGGTTATTTGCAGGGTCCAGTTATTCTAATATTTAGACCGAAAACCTCAACAAATGAAAAATGGCCTGTACTTACAGAATGCTTTTTTAAGTCAGGGGACACAACCAAAGCGCTTTACAACACATTCAGTCATTCACCCATTAACACACACACACTGATGGTAGCAAGCTATACTGGAGCCACAGCTGCCCTGGGGCTCACAACAAGCCATTAAATACCTAAAATTTGTCAAAGATAACACACCCTTAGAGTAGACTACATAAATCGAAGTGTCTATAAACTAACCTGACTGACTTCACTGTCTGTTGAACGTCCCCTCTTCTTGTCATCTTCTGAGTTCTCCTGGAAAAGGCATCAAAATCAGGTTTCAGAGCAGAACTGATTTCAGAAACAAGCCGCACAGTAAATTATGCCAAATAAAGAAAAAAACAGCATCAAACATTCAAACAAAGAGAACATTAATCAAAGAGTTAATAAAACCTGAAAGCTATTTTGGTCTTTTTAACTCAAAAGAGAGATATTCATAAAAACAACATCTTTGAAAGAAGTGAATATTTTACATCTCCATATGGTAGAACCAATTATCTATTCAAATGTATTAAAATCAACATTTCTGGTAAGTATACCAATAGAAAAAAAAAAGGTTTTAATGGTTTGTTTCCATTTAACATAATACAAAAATTAGAATTTTTTTTATCAAATGTAAAGATTACAAGTAATTAGAAAGAGAAAAAATTTATTTTGTTTACAAATCGTATTAATTGGAACTCAAAAGACAAATATATATTTTAGCTTTAGGGCAAAAAACCTACAGACTCAAATGAGAAATTATGCTTGTTTAGTTACCTTCATTGAAGAACTAGTGATATACAATCATTCTATCATCTACAAAGAAAATCAAAGAGAGATAACGCAGACGCTGTACTGTGAGTATTGGTTGTATAGTAAACTGGAGGCTATGGATATAGCTGTGTAGTGAGAAGACAACACAAATAGTAGTAGTGTCCTGATAAGACTTAGTTGTTTCAAATACGATACTGATATTCCAGCTTTAAGTACTGACCAATATAATATTTGACTAATACAATATCAGCATTAATACATACTTTAATACTTTAAATGCTGATTTCATTGTGTGGATTACTAGAAAAGGCTTGATCGAGTGATTATTCTTTTTAAAAATAACAATTCTAAACAACATCAGGTATGAGAAACAACTGACTCATTTCTTATTCACTAAAGAGTTCCATAAATTTTAAACAAAAGTGGATAGAAGCAAAGTGTCTTCATACGCTTTCTAATATTTACAAGCAGGCCGATATATTCTGATATACATTTTTTGGCTGATATCTGACCAATATTAATGTCAAAAAGAAGGGTACCGAGCATAAAGCCTTGTGGAACCCCAGGGAGAATTGGTGAACTTTTCATTGCATGGTTTCTACACACTTCTTAATCTAGGTTTACTGGATGTCTTTTTAATATGTTTTAATCCATATATGTGGAAAGTAGTTAAATTATTATGAGAAATGCTTTAGTGTTTGGTTGAAAATGTAAAAAATTCACTTTTGAATCATGTAACATAGCATGAGTCACTGTTTGTAATAAACATTCATGTTACCCAAACCTGTCAAAGCAAATAAAAGTGAAACTGTTGAAATGTTAACGTAACATCTTGGACACAGTCTCTTTCACATCTCCCTTAGTCCCAGATTTAAAAAAAAAAATCTCTCCTCATCAGCAGTGAACAATACCACAACTCCTACACTTAAACACAGAGCTATAATAGCTACTTATGCTACACACTGAATGAGGGTGGAGAAGCAGAAGAGATGATATGGAGCCAAAACAAGAGAACAGAAGGAGCAGATGGTAAGGCACTACAATAGCAACAAAGGCAATTATCTTTGCATGTACTTTAGATGTTGATGTGCCTTGACTTTAGGTTAATGTAATAATTAACTTCATTTTCCATGAATAGCACTCTCACTTTAAAAAATCTTCCAGGTCGATGACCAGATAAGCCCTTATTTGGTGTCAAAAAACTTCTTAGTAACAGGTTGAAATATAATTTTTAACCTCATATCGCTGAAGGATCAAAGAATCACAGGAAGTAGGAAGGAAATAAACATATTAGTGATCATTTCCATGAGTATAAAATAAAATCAGGAAACTGAAAATTGCTCTCACTGTAGTGCAAGTGGCAGGTGAAGGAGGAATAGGTGAGGATGAGGTGGTGGAGGTCGGTGTGCTGCTGGAGTTGTGGAAGATCTCGTCCTCCAAGTGCGAGGGTCCTGGTGGGGAGGTGGCCAGCAAAGGTTGAGCTGTAGGCAGTAGAGAACCAGAAGGTTTCAGCATTAATCGTGAACTCTTTGCTTCTGTTGTTGTAATATTTTGAAGTAAGTCCAGGTTTCATCAGGACCACTTTAACACAGTAGCTCATAGTTTTATCCCAGGGTTTAAACAGGAATGCTTTTTAATGCTCTTCTAATGCATTTTCCACATTCTCTAGCTTTTTCTACGCCTCAAGCTTCCGAACATACAAAATTTACAAACACTGGGAACCAGTTATATCTGATAAATCCGACCATATTGTTTCTATGTGTGTGTTTTTTTTTTAATAAAGCATTTTAAATGCCACGATAATCAAATTGAATGAATTTTAATGTCAATTAAGGCCTTAATTAAAAAAAAAAAAATTTATGACTTAATAATTTTTAATGACCCGCGTAAACCCTGTATCCATCGCTTACTGCAGAGTTCAAGGTTTTAAGAATATATATAAAGTTACATTTCACCGAGACAGCCCTAAATAACATAACATACAAATAAAATAATAAAAGAAGGAGGAGCATCCTTAGAAGAAAAAAATGAAACAATCATGGAGAAGAATTAGGAGAAAAACTCTTGGAAGAACAATATGTAAACATAAATATGGTATTTAAATATAGAGCAGCTGATCCTGATTGGCCTATGAAATCGAGAATCGATCCGAACCGGAACATTTAATTTCCCCCAGATTATTAAATTAATTTATTTTTTATTTCTAATTTTGATGCCCGGTCCAATGATCAGAAATCGAAGCTGCCTAATATCAGCGAAGAAAGTGCAGCCAGCTGTATGTGCTGCAGTGTGTTGGCTTTAAGTTAAATAAAGAAATAAGCAGTCTGCTACTTGTGATACTGGTGATTAAATTTTATTATGTAAATGATGGCGCGCGGCCGACGTAATTAAACAGCACCTAACACATCTTTGACCTGCTGCACCACTGCTATGGTAAAGTACAGTAGGTCTCCTGAGGGGATTTCCTTCTCTCAATTCGCAGCGCACCTTCTGCGGGGAGGGTCGAGCCTTTTTATACATTTTTCCTCTTAGTTTCCCTTTTAACATATACCTAATTTCCTATGTGCTCTGATTAGAATAAAAAGCACAGACTTCGGAATAATTTTAGGATATAAACTCTGTCAGGATGACTTCCCGCTGCGGTGCTTTTTCCTTCACCTCCGACACTCAGCCCAGACCTGCACCGCAGTCAGAATCAGTTAATAAATGAAATTGTCGTATACGACATAAGTACCTGAAGCAGTTAAAACTGGGTATGTTTAAATGTGTGTTAATTATGTAACAATAAGCCTCTTTCCCACTGAAAATAGTGCATTAAACCAGATTTTTCAAACATGGATCGATGCGCTAACAATCAGCATTTGGCTCTCTTCCCATTGGCTATAGAAGCTGGGTCTAACCCCTTGCTGTCAGCTGCGTGGCCTCTGTCCCACCACAGCTGTTAGTCTGATGATGATCACGCTGGGTTAGTGTTGATGATGTCACCAGTGCGGCAGAAATCAAGAAAGTAAACAATGAAGGGCAATACGTAAGAAGTCAGGGCGTGTTTCGCTGTGTTGTCCGTCTGATTCCCTCCCACCATTGCTGCGCCATGTTTATCAAATGTAAACAGAGTTGTTTTGGCTTCAGATCAGAGGCACCTGGTGAGGTGTGTTAATATCCGTACGTTGCGTTTAATGGTGTCATGTAATTTAGCAGGTCGACCCGGCTCTGGTGTTCCCACAGCATGCTGATCAGAGCCGAGGCGATTTGAACCTGGGTAGACACGCGTCAATAAGCTGTTCCCACTGCCACTAAAAGCCAATTGTTCCCGGGTTTAAAAGTTTTTTTTCCACTAGTGGAAAAGGAGTATATGTGATAAGGAAATTCACAACATTATATTTGAGTTCTTGGGTTTAATATTTAGATACTGGTTGAAAATAACTACGTGATCATTCATAATAAAATTCACAAAGTTTAGGAAATTAAATTACTATTTCATCCAGACAGAACTCTGGTTATCCAGCTAATGATTTGGTAATGGAGCTGTGCTGCAAAACCCGATTTGCACAGCAGGATTTTTCACTAGTTCATTTCTTTATTTGAGAGGGGAAACAAATGGAAAATGTTTGTGTAACTATTGGCTGCATGTACCAACAGACTCCCTAATAATTTCTGTACGTACGGAATTCATCCAGGTCGAGGTCATCGTATATATAATCGTTCTCCTCGAAGTCTGGATCCTGCGATGAGTCGATGTAGTACTCGACATCATCCTTAAAAAGAAAGAATAAATGAGCGACTGATGGCTCTGTGTCGATTAAACATCAAATATCTGTGTCCCTCAGTGCAGAGAAAGAAGGAAAGCATTTAGCAGAACTCCCCGACAAACCTTGATCTTCCTTATGGCTTCGACCTGCAGTGAATCATTGTCCAGCATTCTTAGTATCGTCTCCAGCATTCGGATGTGGTACCGATGCTTCTCAATAAACTTCTTTAGCTCCTCGATCCGATCCTGCTTCTGCAGGAAAACAACAGGCCGACCTCATCGCATGCAGGACACAACTTGCTTTTAACCCTCTGCTATAAGGTGATTTTTTTCTTCTTTACATTGTGCAACAAAAGCTGCATTAATAATTTAACCCCCCAACAGGAGAAAACAAACCACCATATGAGGAAAAAAACATTTCATAAACAAGTGAACTGTGCAGAGGCGAGAACACATGAGTGATTTAAAGCTGTGAGAGCATTAGTGACTGCTGTGAGCACTTCACAGCCTAATGCATCAGAAAGCAGGCAGAGGGCCACTTCCTGATTTCAATATTTCATTCTTCAAGTGATTCACTGTTAATTCATACATGCTCTGATGGTTGGAGAACACGCACAGCTTTAATTGTCCTACTTTGGACAGAACACGACACACGTGGTCAAGTGTGGAAAGCATGCAACTTTATTTCTAAAGGAGCAAAACAAACAGCTGACCAAAGTGCTGTATCAAACATGTAAGATAGAGATGAGGAAAATAAACTATAAAACAGCCATAAGCTGTTTCATAGCAGCAATAAAAACGTGAAATATTGTAGTCAGGTAGTAAGAAAGGGTAAACGATAAAGACTGGGATGTTAACTGACTCTGGTTTACAAGCTCAGGAGATTAATTGTTGTTTTAATTGAAATTTAAAACAATGACTGAACCCGCTGGACCTCCAGCAGCACCTTGGCTCAGGTCTTAGGAGCCGGAACTTTAAAGGCTCCGTCTTTCCTGGATTTATAAAACGTCTTTAACCCCTAAAACCCGACGGACCCACCGGCGGGTCCAGCCGCCACATGACCTCGTAATTTTAACAAACCCCCAGTATTGATGTAAAAAACACATTTGGCCCAGTTTGGTGACATTTTTGGATAAATGTGCCAAAATGGCCTCTCCGCCTAAGAAATTTCTCACTAAAACCATTCTAAAATAAATATGATTCATCTGATTGAGTCCAAATTTGGTATATTTTTACACAACATTTAGATTTAAAAGTCTGTACTACTATTTTTTTTATGCTATAAATAATATTTTGGTAGTGTTTTGCAATGTTTATTTCAAAGAAAATTTTGGCGAGGTTCAAAAAATGCAAAATATTTTGTATTTTGTCCCTAATATTTCAGGCAGGGTCAAAGCTACAATGGTGTTGACACCAGAAAACCATTCTATGACATCTTACCTTTACAGAGGTACCAAAAGTTTCTTCTTAAATCTAATAGCTTTGAGGCTATAAGTTATTTACTTTTGTGTGTTTTTGTCAGGCAGAAATTTATTTATACCCCCTGAGGGTGTAAGAGGTTAAGGATTGCATGTTGGGGTCGTTTAGACATTAATAACAAATAAAAGCCTTGTGCTCTCATAAAGAGTTCAGCACCTTGAGGTAGTGCACAATGTTTCCGGCTCAAAGTTAGGACCAAGTTTTAGCAGCTAATCTGCACAGAGCAGCTTTTCTTTTTAACTAATTTGCTGGAAATCTCTCAAGGTCATGAAATGGGAAGACAACATGGATGGGAAGAGGTGGCTTTGTTTTGAAGACAAGTGTTTTTCTTTAAGGTTAGATGAAAACAACTATACTTTAACAGAAATGCATTTCTAAAGGCATTGTTTTGGTATTTATTTGTGTATAATTGACATTAAAGGTTTTTAAAAAAAAGCAGGATAAAGGAGCTTTAACTATAATCTAAAAAGAGCTTTAATCATCCAGTCATGGTGATAGAAAGCATGACGTTTGACATCTGCCCTAATGTAAAGAAAAAGGATTTAACGATTTAACCCAAGCACTGACAGGAGAGAGAAAGTTAAGGATGGGATCCATTTGCATCTAACAAACTGGCTAAATGGATGATAATAAAACAGGATAGGTGTGTCTGTTACTGGGCAGCTCTTGGAGGAGTTCAGCATAACCAAACTTTCTAATTAGTTTTATCTCATACAGCAGGTCACTGCCATCAATCCGTTTGAGACAGACTAAAGCACTGAGTTTGTTCGTTAGATCATCTAGTTTGCTGCACAAATTTTTTAATCAAGGACAAAATTTAAAAAATGATAAAAATGATGAGACAAAGGCTTAAAGTTAAGAAATGCGTATTTTCCCCCTCAGATTACTACTGTACTGGGAAAATTTTTTTAATTTCATACACTTCTAAAATGTAGATGAACCCTGGAAATCAGAACCAGACCAGAACCATAATAAAGCGTTTCAGAAAGGAAAGTTTAAACCATTAAAATGTCCTTGAAGCTTAAAACCTTCAAACACAAAATAGTTTAAGGTAAACCTGCTAAAAATGATACAAATAAAATGAATACATTGTATTTGAAGAGGTGCTAGAGGACAGAAAGAGACCATCACTGCAAAAATGATCTAAAAATGAGTAAAACATTTCTTAAAATGAATGTTTAACCTTAATTTGAGTAGGTAATTAAGATGATCTGCCAATGGAATTAGCATTTCTACCCTTAAAATAAGATAATTAGATATTATGCACTTGAAAGAAGAGACCGTGTTTGTTTTTTCTTATTATTTAAAATGTAAATTATCTTATTCCATTGGCAAAGTGTCTCATGTACATCCACAGTTCAAGAAAAATGTGCTTATTTTAAGAAAAATTTGATTTATATTTTTTGCAGCGTAATAGTTTACTCAATGTTGTTTCATTCGAACCTTTAGAAACCCAATTATAACCCAAATAAAAGACAAGAAAAAAGAAGACGCCACCTTGAAAATCCCCCAAACCCAAAATAAAAAAGCTTCCAGACTGAATCACAAACTTTAAACTGTAGACCTTGAGGGCCGACGCCCTTTAACCTGCAGATGTTTCTCTGTTCCAACACCTGAATCAAACAATCAGGCCTGATCAGAACCATCTGGAATTTGGCTCCAAGCTGTTAATGTAGTTTATCCTTTGGATTTAACTGGTTTGGATCGCATTGAAACCTGATGGACTCCAGCCTGGAGGCCCGGAGTCTGACACCTGATGTCTACCAGCCGAACAAAGTCAGCCTTTGGTTTTATTTACAGAAAAACTTGGATGGAATTGAAGGATTTATAGTTAGAAAGTTTAAACTGTCATGAGCAGATGTTTATTTACAAGATCCAGGGTGATTTATGAAAGTTGATGTACTTCTATATACGAGGGATTTTACACATTACTTTATTTAAATCACTTATTGTCTGTCCAAATCTTTAACACTAAACAGAAGAGTATGCTGAAATATAAAACTAGGCATAATAGATGTGTTACAGCTCTGTAGAGTGATGATCATCGTCTTTTAACCCTTTAAAACATCGACGGCACAGATGGACGCACCAGCAGTTACTATTAACACCATTTTAACAACAATAATAGGACAATTACTCATTACTAAAATAATCACAGCAACTAAAGCTAAGGGAGCCTGGCATTTAGATTCATTCATTAGTTTCACATTTCATGAAAACATACTTTGGTATCTGCTGTTTTCTTATTCATACCTTTAATCATCAACACTAACGTTGAAGCTAACCATCTGTCTGTTTGCTTCTTATATTACAAGCTAAAGATTAATAGACTTTAATTGTTGTTTATCTGACAGGTTTTGGTTAAGAAATTGGAGATGTGCAGCTTAAAGATCCTTCATTAAGAAGCGTTGATGTTTATTTTCCTTCTGTGTCTTTAAAACGTGGATGTCATTGAACTGTTGTTCAGTAAAGGATCAATTCTAATCCGAACAGAAGAACTCATTGACTTCATCCTTTGTCTTCTAGCCAACTGCACAAGAAAAAAAAAAAGATAAATCCTTCTGGTTCTCCTTTTTTAAACTATCTCTGCACAAACTTTCCTCACAGGAAAAAGGAGGAAGAACTTTTAAAGAACCTCATGTCTGTGGCACTTTTTCCATCTCACTGTCATGACAAATCAACTCTATTATGGAGAAGACGCATTAAATCTTAATTCAGAACCTGTAAGTTCTCAGAAATGACTGCAGAAGGTTTTCTATAAATGACGTCCTTGGAAAAGCTTGGTCAATGAGGTTATCCTCGTTGGCCAGAAACAGAAGATGAAAGCAGGGCTCACTATCTGACCTCTCTGCCAATGAAGACAGAGAGATGAAAGCGGAGGAGCTGTAGGGATGACAAGCCAACAGATCTGGGAGCAGAAATGTGAGGAAGAAAACAAACGGATTCAGAAAGCAGAGCGGACTGACCTCCTTGTCTCCTTTCTTCTTCCTGGTCTGGACTGAAAGAGACTCCACCTCGCTCTCAAACTGGTCCACCTGCATGTTCAACGTGTCTATCGTGTTCTGAGATAAAAGAGGAGGAAAAAGATCGAATAAGAGCAAAGTTCACACACAAAAAACAAAAAATTCAAAAAGTGGAAAATTATTTTAAAGTCTGGCCACTTTATGCCTTCAAATTTATCATTAAAGTTTATATTATTAGTTGTCTTTTATCTAAAAAAAAAAAATCATAAAATGGTATATAGTATTATATAGCACATGAATGCATTATAAATTTAAAAAATAAATTTCAATACAAACATTAATCAAATCAATCCTTAACTAGGATGTAAACAAGGGATTTTGTTAATTTATTTCATAATAAGCTGCTTTGTTTTTGACTTGTTTTGTTCGATTTTACTAAAAGCTTTTTGTTTAAATTTCTTCCAGTGTTGATTTTCTCAACCTCATTTTTATCCTCATGTTTTATTCAGACACATTGGTGGTAAAAATGTTCCCTAATGAGCAAAGTTGGACTATTTATCTGATGCTGAGGAGATATTAAAATGTCAATTGTTAAACTTCAACTCCTGTTCTTTACTCCAGCAGTTTGGAGGAGAGAAATCATACATCGCTCCGGTCTCTTCCTCTGGAAGCTCACCGTTAGCCACGTGCCGACCTCCTCCTTCTCCTTCTGCGCCGGGTCCACCTTCTGGATCAGGCCGAGTCCTTCTTTCGAGTACGCTTTCGTCTTGGTTTCTCTTTCAACTATTTTAAAGCGCTCCATTTGCTGCAAGTAGATTCAAACAGAAAGTATAAGATATAACTTTTAAAGGAAAAGACTGAAGGTTACACCTTAAAAAACTGTATTGAAGCTTGTTTTGGATGAAGTCGCTTCATAATAATGATGCTATGATTTGCATTTCATCTAAAAACACCTGAAACCAGCCTTTATTATATATAAAGTTGTTCTTTATGTTTTTCAACATCTTTGGATTCTTTGTCTTTTTTGTCTGATTTGTTGCTGAACTTAAATATGAGGAACATGTTCTTTAAGCCTCTGTAAGCTGGATATGATAGCAGCTCAAATTAATTATTATTACTTTTTTAGGCAGCTCATTAAAACCAGATGGACACAGATATCTTATTCTGTTTAAATCAAATAGGTGAATAAATAATATTTTTATACCGGAAAGGTGATTCCTAAAGTGATATTGGTTATAAACTTGTTGATTTGGCATGGTTTGGAAAGCATCCCAGGTACACCACCTTGTGCAGCTCGTATATCAGTGACCATACAGTAACAGGTTTTTACTCAATAAAGTCACTGTTAATAAATTCATCATGTGTCAGTTTTAGCCAATGAAACCATCAGCGTACTAATCTAGCAGCTCTGGGTCAAACGGGACAGATGGATCCTCGCTGAGCTGTTGTTTTCCCTCAGTGTGTTTCTTAGCAGCAGGTGTCTCACATGTTCTGAATAGTTCTAATTAAAAGGCAAATGAGACCCTGATGCCTGATGGGCATCAAAGCAGTGACAAAAAAAAACGTCCCCGTGTTAAAATAAACATATTTATGGAGCGGATTTTTAATCCAAATAGGGCTGCAACTGACAAACTTTTTGCATATTGATGAATCTGTCTATTTTATGTTATTTTGATTAATCAATTATTAATCTGATAGCCAATCGGATTGCTTAAAGTTGATTCTTTTATGAGATTAAACCAGGTGAAAGGAGCTCTGGATAGAGCATGACAGATGAAAACATTTTTATCTTGAATGCAAAATGTTAATTTTTTTTATTTTGATATAATTATTGCTCCAAGTGTGTGCTCTGTCACACTCTCTATACTCCAGTTAACAATTAATTGATTATTGATTTAGTTGATTTAGATTATTATGTTCATAATTGATTAATCACGATTAAACCTTTTAATTGTTTTAGTCCTAAATCAAATTTATATTGTTTAGGTGAATTAGTCACATGTCTGTTTCTAAGGAGTTAAGGTCAATAAAAATGATCCATTAGATCCCAAATGATTAGCTTAAAATTAATAAACAGATGCATTTAAAAAATCCCAACTAATATTTTAAGTCGGCATCAGCTCTGCTTTAACTGCAACCTGATTATAGTGAAAAAAGTTTTTTTCTTCTAGGAAGAGCTGTGATCAGTTCATGATCCTCTGAAAACAAAGCTTTCCATCTCATTTGATCAAAATACGAAACATTAACAGTGACTCTAAGCTCCTGAAACTATCCCGGGTTATTAATGTAGCAGTGCTGAGGAGTTTCAGATCTTTGTTTGTCTTACAAGACGTTGATCTGAGCTGAAGCATCAATCAGAAGCAGAGGATGTGGCCCTCAGCCACGAAAACAGCTGCTTGTAAAACGTTGAGATAATGGAGAGATTTTCCAATCATGGAAGGAATGAAGCGTTTGGTATCTGAAGGCTTCAGCTGCAAAACAAATATCAACTCCAGCCCTCTTCACAAAAAGATAGAATATGAAGCAGGAGCGAATTACATTTAATTATATATTGCAGTTAGAAAAATAAAGATTCCCTATAAGCAAAATCATATATTTAACTTAAAACACAGAAGATTAAATACCAGAAAGGTGCAGCTTTCATTTACAAATCTAATCATTTTAATACTGGCTACACTTGCAAGGGGAATTTAATGACATCTTATATTCTAACATCATATTAATGTGTTGATCAACTTTAGTTTTATTCTTCACTGCAACAAAAGTGGAGGAGTCATCATCCTCGCCTCGCTCTTGTCGGTTCCTACTCACCGTTTCTATGAGTTTGCGGTTCTCTATTAGCTGCCTTTTGTCTTTGATCTCGTTGGATGCCACCCACGTTTTAATCTGGTCTCGAAGGCGCTGCGGGACCAGAGAGGAAGAAGATGAAGGGGAGGAAGGGGGAGATACAAACACATCAGTGAACTTGGTAATACATGCTGGGACTCGTCTTTGACAGTCATGGATGGTGAGGCTGATGCCGGCTTGGCTTGAAATTTGGTCCTCATGACAACGGCGACTTACATGACACGCAGAAAATCTATATTTTATGCTGCGGGAAATGAAATTGGACCCAGTTAAACACCCGTATCCCTGAGTAAGTCAGCGAAACTTCTCAGCCTGGTCGTCTGGTTTTTATGGTGGCAAGTTAATCACCTTTGTTTGGATTCAAATTATGACCTTTTATACCAAGTTTAGTTTCATGACAGAATATAGAGGACAAATAACTTTGATTTTTTTATTTTTTTTTTCAGTTAGTGATTTTTGTTAACAAAAACATTAGAACCAATGTATTTGGTGTCATTTATTGACATTCTATGTCACTGACAACAATGAGCTTTTATAGCCATGAGTGCTTTTTAGAGGAAAAGCACTCATGGCTCTCATAGCTTTACAAAAATGTTAAAAGTTTGTCTAAATCCAACTTTTCAGAGACTGAAAATTTAAAGCAAACGAAGCTCAGTCAAGTAGAATAGACAGTCTGGAAACAGAAAAGCTGAAGATGGGAAACAATCCCAGCACATCGTCAAAAGAACTGATTTATGGTGATCATAGAGCAGAAGTCCTGGATTAATGGACCAGGGTCCGGATCCAGACCCACCTGCTGGCTAATCTAGACCCAACCAGATTTAAAACATTTAAAAATTACTGCATGCTGTCCAACAACATTGTCTAACTTAAATTGTGCCGCTTCTCCTGTTAATATGTTAAAGCACCAGGCTGCACGTCATATAAATTAGCCAATGAGCTGTGTCTGTCAGGGCTGCTGTTGCTACCTACTTTAATACACAGCAGGCAAACCTGTGGCAAGCCGGGCGATGGGAAAGAAGGAGAAGACGATGAAAGAAAGAGAGCAGAGAAAGTGTGGACTGCTGGAAGAACTGTGGTGGACTGGTGAAAGAAAAGTGTAATGACATCTTTAAAGGAATAGTACACCCAAAACATGATTAGCCTTTATTTTCTACTCACCCCCATGCTGAACAACACTCTGGAGTATTTATTTGATATCTCAAATGCATCTGGAGATCTGGGAGGCTTCTTGCTGTCTGCTGACATTCAAATAATGGAGGTCTATGGCGCCCGAGGCAGAAAGGTCCATTAAAGTCCACAAAAAACGTGTCAATATTCCTCCATACTGCTCATCCAATGTATTCCAAGTGTCCTGAGTGGGTAGCGTCCATAATTTACTCGAAACGAAGTCATTTAGAATGTTTTTAGAGCATAAACAGTAGTGTATAGGATTTCCTAAAAGCGCGTTCACGAGTCTACGGAAACCGCGGCAGACCAAACCAGATGAAAGTGCGCATTCAGCTCGGTAAAGAACTCATGCTCTTCCTCAGCACTGAAGTCCTCAGACATTTTTCTTTCGTTGTTTCTTTCTTTGCACAGGTAAACAGCACATTTCTTCTTCTACGCTTGCATTATTGGCAGAGCAGATGCTGAATGCGCACTTTCATCTGGTTTGGTCTGCCGCGGTTTCCGTAGCGTCGTGAACGCGCTTTTAGGAAATCCTATACACTACTGTTTATGCTCTAAAAACATTCTAAATGACTTCGTTTCGAGTAAATTATGGACGCTACCCACTCAGGACACTTGGAATACATTGGACGAGCAGTATGGAGGAATATTGAAACGTTTTTTGTGGACTTTTATGGACCTTTCTGCCTCGGGCGCTGTGGACCTCCATTATTTGAATGTCAGCAGACAGCAAGAAGCCTCCCAGATCTCCAGATGCATTTGAGATATCAAAAAAGTACTCCAGAGTGTTGTTCAGCATGGGGGTGAGTAGAAAATGAAGGCTAATCATGTTTTGGGTGTATTATTCCTTTAAAGATGGCCCTGCACATTTTAGGTATTGGCTCAACCTACTGCTGTAAAGCAAGATTCTCCACAATGAACAGAATCTATATGGATCCAGGCTCAAAATGAGCACCTTGATATGTGCTTGACAATGGCTTTGTCTCCATTCAAACCCAGGTTTAAAGCCTTGCAGGGTAGCCTAAAGCCCACTGCTCTCATTAAGCCATAAAATAAATAAATAAATGAAAACGGTCAGTTCGGTTGTTTTATAAAAGGTGTGAAAGTCAGGAAATTGTCTATATACTAAACTGTCAAAGATTATCTTCTCCATTTCAAAAAGCACTTTAGATTTTAAAATGGAAAAACCTTATTTTTTTTTATTTAAAAAGTCAATGCATAACATGGATGCATAAACACCTGCATTTTAATTCAGCGTTAAATGCTTTTTAAAGTAATGTATTATAATTAAAAATGTCTCTGGACCTTAACTGGTTGTTGATTTTCTTTATTCGGACCACGCAGATTTTTAATTAGTGACCCCTGACATGGAGGGTACATGCAGATGATGTCATCAACCAAAGCTTCAGCTAAGATAACCAACTCCTCAACTTTTTGTATTATGACAGCAGAACTGAATAATATGTTTAAAATATGATGAAATGGATCGACTGCTGAGATGTTCACCTCTGCTGCTCTTTCAGAGCCACCAAAGCCCTTTGGATGGTCACCATCATTAAAGCTCCACTTGTTTCAGAAAAATCACCATGTCTTGGTATATTTACAGTTGATCTTCATTATTACCTTCCTTAACCCTCCAGCTTTAACTCAGGTCTGACTGCTGTCTTCTTCAGTCTTCATCAAGCTCTTTGCTCACTAATGTCTTCCAAATAAACCTTCCAGGGCTTTTCCTCAACAAATATATTCATACTGAAGGTAAATAACCGTCTAATGACTAAACAGGAGACCTGTGAAGGAAAACGGTTGGACAGTATTTTTATTTTATGGTATGGGATTAAAGAGGTTGCTTTTTTCTATAAAAGAAGCTAAAACCAGGACATTTGTTTTTGAAAAACATGACATTTTCTTTTATGATGATGATACAACGATAAAATGATTATGGAGAGCACAAAAACAAGTTATCGCCAGCTGCTAGATGTTTGCATTCCAGGCTGATAATGGAAACTGAGCACAAAATCCTGAAAAGCAGATTTTTATAGCGAGGGAAGCAGCAGACGACGTATTGACACAGGTGTCCAGAATAGCTTCCGTCTCTCGTTGCTAGCGGGACGGACTCACATTAAAGTGACATAATGAGAAAAATGAAGACAAAAAAAAAACAAAACAGTAGGATAAATGAAAACAGAAATGAAGTCAGAATCATGTTTTACATAATATGTTCCTAAAAAATGCGACCAGCGCCCAGCTTATTTCATACAGGTGAAAGTGTGGTGATTCTATCACTGACTAACAGTGTTTGTTTGTTTGTACACATGACCGCGCCGGACCTTTTGGAGCTGTGATGACAAAGCTTATGACAACATGTGGGCGGCTGTGAAAGCAGAGAGATGCTGCAGTTTCCGTATGCCAGCATGTGCAGCTTGCAGGACATTTGGAAACAAAACCAGTGGAGCACAAGTTTCCAGAGCCAGGCTGTCCTCTGATGCCACGTTTTACTTTCCTGCAGGCTGAGCGCCTCCCAGGTACCCTTCAATTACTAAACTAATTCAACAGACAAAACAAACAACTCCACAAAAGGTTGAAGTTTCAATTAATGTGAGGAAAAACCCAACATTTAAGAACTGAGAGGAAAAAGGTGAATGTTTCAGTCAAAAAGAGAATCTGAATTCTGGTGTTAAAAGAATTTTTGGTTTGCTCATACATCAAGATTTTAAAAACCTTTACCAACTAAACCTTCAGAAACTACGGAAGAGGATTAGGGCCACTGAAAAAAGAAAAAAAAAAGTTAACTGATTTTTAAATTTTATTTCAGTTTAATATGGGAAAAAAGTCAGAATTCTGACTTAAAATCTCAGAATTCTGACTTTTAATCTCAGAATTTTGACTTTTTTCTCAGAATTCTTTGCCTAATTCCGTCATTTTCCACCAATGTGTCACTGGCCACCTCAAACAACTCACATCTTTGTCAGTGAAGCTGAGTGCTCCACATCTCTTCCTTCATGGTGCCCATCTACATTAAGATCCAAAATTCTGAGATTAAAGTCGGAATTCTGAGATTAAAGTCAGAATTCTGAGATTAAAGTCAGAATTGAGAAAAAAGTCAGAATTCTGAGATTAAAGTCAGAATTATGAGATTAAAGTCAGAATTATGAGATTAAAGTCAGAATTATGAGAAAAAAGTCAGAATTATGAGATTAAAGTCAGAATTCTGAGAAAAGAGTCAGAATTATGAGATTAAAGTTAGAATTTTGAGATTAAAGTCAGAATTCTGAGATTAAAGTCAGAATTATGAGATTAAAGTCAGAATTATGAGATTAAAGTCAGAATTATGAGAAAAAAGTCAGAATTATGAGATTAAAGTCAGAATTCTGAGAAAAGAGTCAGAATTATGAGATCAAAGTCAGAATTATGAGAAAAAAGTCAGAATTATGAGATTAAAGTCAGAATTATGAGAAAAAAGTCAGAATTATGAGATTAAGGTCAGAATTCTGAAAAAAAAGTCAGAATTCTGACTTTTTTTCCCATGTTAAACTGAAATAAAAGGTAAAAATCAGTTAACTGTTTTCTTTTTTTTTTTTTCAGTGGCCCTAATCCTCTTCCGTAAGAAACATTCTTGCTCTTACCTGGAGCTTTTTAATCTCTTTCTTGAGGTCTGCTTCATATTTCTCCTTCTGGTTTGCATTGGCTGCATTGTGAAGCTGCAGAAACAGAAGAGAAAGCAGGTTAAAGCAAGTAGCTGCTTAGAGGAATTCAAAATAAAAGTAATGTTATTCAAATCGATATAAGATGAAGGGTTGAAAATGTTTGTAGCAGGTCTCAGAAGTCACTGCAGAGGAATAAAGAAGTACCTCAAACATTTCGATCTGGAAAACTGCATTTTGTAAAATACTTTGATTTTTAGCCCCAACAGTAACAGGATTCAGCTAAGATATAAAATGAACTGGGTAAGGGTTTCCAAATTTTATTAAAGAGAAAAAAGACCCATTAGTGTTGCAAAAAAAGCTTCTTTGATGCCAAATGAGAATCGAAGACCATTAAAGCAAAAATAACTGCAGGATATAATGAAGGCAAAAAGGCAAACTGGGATCTTTGTTACCAAACAAATCCAACTAATGACTCGATGCTTTCTTATCTACAGAAATGATCTAGTCTCTCTGCACATCTTCATTATTCCTCTGCAGGACTACAGAGCATCTCTTAAATAGTAAGACTGAATGTTATTTCCAAACCTTAAATCAGTGACATGAAACATAAGAAACATTCAGTAAACTAATCATCCTGCCGTACGGTATAAAGGTCAAATAAGTTATTAGTGATTATTTGAATCATTTATTTTTAGAGAAATAGTCTACTTGTAAATCTTTAAGATGTTTACCAAATTTATAAAGACATTGATAAGAAAAAAAAAATCTCTGGATTTCACAAAGTAATGATTTTATCGAACTAAACTAAAGGATCAGGAAAATGTTGACAAAATGTTTGGATTATTTAGGTTTTCATCTTATTTCACTATTTTTGAGATAAATAAGGCAGAAATATTTATTTCTGACTATTTTCTGTTTTTCCAAACCTGATGATGGATCCATTTTTTGGGGGGGAAATGCTTAAAATATGTTACCTTTTGCCAAATGTCTTCAAACTGCTCCACTCCCTCCGCTACTTTTTTCAGACATCGATCTATTTCCCCTGAAAGAGACAATAATGAATACAATATAACTAAAAACACAACTTCTTAAGTAGAAAAAAAATATATACTTCTGTGTTAGCAAAGAACAGCTGACAAAAAAAAAAAAAAAAAAAAACACACATGCCAGTTTGATGAACACCAACAGATAATACAGCCAAATAAAATGTGTCCTCTGAAACTGAACTCATCCTTTAGGAAGCAGTGGGCTGCTGTGCAGAACCTTGGCCCCATTCGGCCCAACCCAAAGTTCACACAGCATTCTTCATCTGTGCAATTTGCTCTCTGTGATAAATCAAAGCCAGTCTAGTCAATGTGGTAATTCACACGGGCAGCATGATGCTGGATGACAGACAGCCTTCCTCTGTCAGAGACAAGGTTAGGGTCCATTTTTAAAGGAGGATGGAACAAAACACAGAGCTTTCTAAAAACCTGAAGAGCCAAAGAGGGAGGCGGATAAGGCAGGGTTTTTGCTTTTGACTGATGCAGGAACGGATCCTGCACGCATCCAGTATGAATCACCGTAAGAAACAATATGTGATCAGTAGCCCTGGTTCCATCCAAATGTGATGCCAAATTTAGCAAACTTTTAAGAAAAAAAGTAAAATAAAATGCGGATTAGACGCATTTCCATCCACTTGAGCAAATGTCTATGGTGATTATATTTAATATTTCACTTGGCTGTAGTAAACAGGAAGTAGAGTTGGTAAGCTGGCGTGGACAACAGATTAGTGAAGGACTGATGTTTGAATTAATGCGTTGCAATCGGGAAAATTGACCGTATGGTTTGTGCCATCCAAGACTTAGAGAGAGAAACGTGATTCTGATGCTGCGTACAGGATGCCAGCGGCAGCAGAAACAGCTGATGAGTAATGTGAGGTAAATATTATTATTAGAACTTATTTAAAAAATATATATATTTACATCTCCTCTTCAGCACATTTATTCCTATTTAAAAAGTCCAAAACAGCCTTTGCACAAGCATCAAAATGTTTTTTTTGCGTAATTTAGCACATTATTCAAATTTGGCTGTTTGCATCAAGCTCTTCAAATACAATTCTTCAAAATGTGCAAAAGGAAAAAAAAAGGTTGATGGAAAGTGTCTATTGTAGTTGTGGTGGAAGGGTATAGACCGTGGAATGGGAGTGCCAGTTTAGAGAATTCAAACCAGGAAGCTAATGTTGTAATCATGACAAAGTTTGAAACGTCTGGAAGAGATGAGCCAAAACGCCATCGCTTTAAATATTAGTGTCAGGAAAGAGACCAATGAGGGCATTCTGGTCCAAGTTCTCCGATCTAGATCAGCTTCCCCATCGTGAAGCTCTTCTACTTTGATACAAATGAACACAGGAAACTGTTAATCAGTTGAAAGCTCAGTCAGCTCCAATGCAGTGAAGCAACAAAACAAGGCTAAAGCCATTTACCCCGCTGCTGTGCTGGATCACTGAAGAAAATATCATGCAAAATTACCAGAAAGACAGAAAATGCACCTTGTTTTTGCTTAATACGTTTGTATGTTTCTTTTTTAAAGAGGCCAATAAATAAATGACATAAAATACAACAATAAAGGCAGCACACTGACAAACTACAGCTGACATCTCATGAAATATGCATATCATGAAAGGTTTCCACTAAAGGTGACATATAAACATATTACTACGCTAAGCGTCTCCCAGAATCTGAACGTGAAGATAAAGAGCCAGTAATTTAAAGACGGCAAGAAATAATAAATGGTTTATATTAAATGAGTCTTTAGGCTCAACAAAAGCTTGAATAATCTTTAATGTCATGTTTCGTCATGAGGGGGGAGATCAATTCACTAACAGGAAAATGTTTAGGTGTAGCATTTAGGTATTTTAGCCCTGTGGTATGCAGAGGAAGGCTATTTCAAATAATAACTTCCCCACAAACGACTAAATCAGGCTAAAATATCTAAGCCATTCATGTCGCAAATATTTTGAAAACATAGTGAAGTTCAATTTTTTAATCTAAGAGACCTTCACATCCGTCGAAGGTTGCTCTGCTGTAAGTTATCAACTTAATCTATTACTAATTTTATGTTTGGCTCACTTACCCAAAACTCAAAGGTTGAAGTGGGGAAACATTTGAAAGTTAGGAGAACATAAACAGCTACTTTGGTTTTCCAAAAGCTTTTATGCAAGTGTGATGCATGAGCAGTTGAACACAGCCAGAGGCAACAGATCGCAGCTGCCTGACATGGTCTATTAACTCGGACAGGTTGTCTGTTTGCTCTTCTACTCTGAATAAATATGCATGGAAACATTTAGATGAGGGTTTCATTTATTTAGGTTTGAAACAATTAATCGGATTAATTGATTATTAAAATAATCGTCAATGAATTTAGTAATCGATTAATCAAGAACTGGAGTGTAAAGACTCTAAAACCTGCTTTTAACTGACAGAGAAGTCATTATATCAACAGTGTAAAAAAAAAAAGTAAACATTTTGCATTTAAGATGAAAATCTTTTTCATCTGTCAATATGCTCTATCCAGAACAAATTTTAGTTTCACCTGGTTTAATTTCGCAAAAAGTCTACTTTAAGGAACCTTTGGCTATGTGATTATTAATCAATTATTCAAAAAAATTATTGACAGAGTAATCTATTTGCAAAATAATCATTAGTTGCAGCGCTAGATTTATTGATTTTCTGCATTTACTTTCTAATAAGCTGACTTATTTCATCCTAGTTCAACCACATATAATGGTATAGCTCAGTGATTTCTGGGTATATGTGTTCAAGCAAGGCTGGGTCTGGAGATCTGGTCCGCAAATAGAATAGAAATGCCCTTTGTTGTACGTTTCGGAGGAAATTCACATGTCCACTCAGCAAAGAGAAAAAAAAATGGAGGCATGCAGATATGCTCAAGGGTAAAAACTTAAAAACAAACAAAAAAAAAAGGTTGGACCTCAAGAAATGTGAAAATGAGTATAAATATTTATGCATAATAACAGACTGTATACAAGTTCTTTATAAGGCGCTTCTGAACCAAACTACACCAGAGATCAACTAATCAACAAAGATGGGAAATGCAGAAAGAATATTTATTTTCTGTGAGCTCTGTTTATATTATTAGAAAAAAATCTGTGTCAAAAGTCTTGATCTGTTCAGAAGCGAAAATCCTTGTGAACCAAAATAAACCAACCACCAAACTCATTAACAATAAACAAACTTAATGAATACAAGTCATTTCTAAGAAACATGGAAACATTACAGACACAATTATCATAAATGGAGCAAAGGCTGAGATTTTGTTTTCTTTTAAAGAAATTCCCAGCGTTCCCTGTGAGAGAACTGATTCCTAACCTGGTTTATTTCAGGGCTGCAACTAACCACTATTTTGCAAATCAATTAATCTCTAAATAATTTAATTAATAATAGATAGCAAAAAGTTCTTGAAACAAGACTTTTTAGGATATTAAACGAGCTGAAACTAAGACTTGTTTAGAACATATTGACAATTTTTTTTTATTATTATTTTAAATGCTAAATGTTAGAATTTTTCTTTTTTTAATTTTGGTATAATTGATGCTCTAAGTGGGTTGCTCTGTCAGCTAAAGTTATGTTTTAGAGTCTCAACACTCCAGTTAATAATTAATCGATTACTAAATTAGTTAACAATTATTTCCATTATTGATTAATCCCGATTAATCTGATTGTTTCAGTCCTAGTTTATTCCTAGTTTACTCTCATCATCATATTTGACATTTTGAATCAATGGGTTATACATATATAATATGGGTGGAACAGTTCACAAAATCCACGGTTCGGTTCACGGTTTCGTGGTCACGGTTTTTTTGGCTCGGTATATGTTGATTGTTAGCCTGACATGTTGGTCGTGTTGCTATTAGCATAAACAAATGTTGCACAATGCTTGCACACTGTTGCACTTTTATCCACAACTTTCTTTCCGCCGTCATCGTAGGTCACTCTAAATGCAAAGTGGTCCCATACAGCAGACCTATAAAGTGCTGCTGGCGCGTCTTCCAACTCCTGTTCTTTCCCACTCGCCATACCCACACAATTTTCCACAACAACTGATTTTTTTCTGCTACACCCGGCTAAGCTGCTTCGCTTCTTTTTCTTGTTTACTATTGGTGGTTGGCTTTGGTCGCAGTACCGCCACCTTCTGCTCTGGAGTGTAAACGCTTCGCCTATGAGAAAAAGGAGCAGCGCATGAACCGAACGCAACACACGCGAACCGAGACAGTCGAAGCGAACGGTTCGGACGGTTCTCATAAACCGTTCCATCCCTAATATATAACATTTGTGCTGATTTCTTTTTTCCAACTAACATTTACAGATTTAGTTCATACTTAGAGTGTGGATCTTTGCTTTCTTTTTATTGTTAATCTGTGTGATTAGAATCATGCCACAGTCATGAGGAAGTAATGCCAACCCTTTTTGTTTGATTTGAAATGATTTCTCACGTTTGTCACACTGCATTCATCAACCAGTGTCTGTGAAAAAAACGGCTCAACCAGTGGGTGCACCATATTATGCAATCTTAACGTTCAAAAAGGTTGGTGCGGGTCCAGCAGGAAACAGAATAAATGTTTAATGGGTCTGAATCCCAGACTTTAGCGGATTATCGTTATCTAAACTCTGAACGGACGCCGTTTTAACTGAATCAACAATGAGTGGCGTTTATCTCAGCGACCCAATCCAGATTCTTTATCGCATTTAAGAGTAAAGAGCAGAATAAAGAAGGAGGACATTAAAGATGGACGGATGTGACAGAGGATCTAATAAAACTGAAGAGCCTGTGCAAATAGAAAAAAAAGCAGCGTCTCTGACATACATTTCTATGTTTTATATCAAATAATGATATTCTGATATGTTTTTGGAGGAGGGGAGGTACTTTTACCTAAAAGGTCACCTCAATCTCAGGAGGCCAGAGCAGCTCTGCAAGAAGATCATCGCTCCTTCAGGAAGATATTTCTGCATAGATGCATGTTTGTGCTTTTCTTTTTAATATGACAGCTGCTCTTTAGGGGAAGGCCCAGTGACACGCGTGAAAGGTTGAGTGATGCTGATTCCTGTCAAAAAGGCTGCAAACGGTTAGCCTGCGGTGACAGCCATCAATGGAGGATGACATCAAAGTACGTTTTTCTGCAGGGCAAAGCCAAGCCTGCGGTTCTACCGTCTGATCCACACAAAGGTTCAGGTTGGATTATGACGCTTGTTGTTTCATCTCGAACAACAAGGGTCAACATTAGCCTCTTCTGGGCAGCTTTAGGGTTTGAATTTTCAGCATTGAATGTGCAGAGAAGAAGGAGAGCAGCAGTAAGGAGAATTTCCCTAGAAAAAAAAAAACATTTACATCTAAAAGAATGGGATGTTTTTGGTAAAAATGTCTGGAAATATCGCCAAACTATCCAGAAACCAGGCTATTTATTCCCTGAACAAAAGAAGAGAAATAAAAAATAAAAACCATCCAAATGTCTTTGAAAAACACCTGGTTTTTCTTTAACATAGTAAAAATATCAACGACAACCCATCAGAGGAAACTACCACAACCAACCTTTGTCTTTGAAACAGTGAGGTTAACATCCCCCCCAGCAGCAGCACGCATTTTCCTTTGATGGCAACACCTGCTCATCCAGGAACATAACCGCTCCAGTTGTCTGGTACATCACAGTAACTCAGAACATTTCTGTGCCGTGGTTCAGCATGATGAGCCGTTTACGCTGTCTGGTCTGTTAAAGGACCGAGCTCTGGCTTTTGTTTTGGTCTCTGGTTTAATCTGTGACCTGAACGCAGCCGTCTTTAGCAGGATGCTCATTGGCTGACATCTGGGAGGGTCTGATCCTGCTTTCTTCTACAGACCCTATGCGACCGCCAACTAAGTCAGCTGTAAAGCTTTCTACTTAGTGTTTATTTTGCAAATCAATTAATCTGTCGATTATTATATTTCAATTAACAGATTAACAATCGGATAGCCGACGGTTCCTTAAAGAAGAATTTTTACAAAATGTAACCAGGTGAAACAAACTTTTCCTCTTGAGGAGTTCTGGACAGAGCATATATTAACATACCATTTTTTTTTTTAAGATATATTTATTTTTTACAATTGTGGTATAATTACTGCTCCAAGTGGGTTCCTCTGTCAGCTCAAGGCATGGTTTACAGCAGAGGTCACGGATTAGCGGACCGTTGTCTGGACCCACCTGCTGTTTAAACCGGAACCAACCTGATTTAAAACATTTATAAATTACTGCATGTTGTCTAACAACAATGTCTAACTTCGCTTGCGCCGTTTCTCCTGTTCGTTCGGTAAAGCCCTCCGGAGTGTCCGGGACCAGGCTACACGTGATTCAAATTAGCCAATGAGCTGCTGTCAGTCTGGGCTGCTGCTGCTTGCTACTTTTAGATACAGAAGGAAGCCTGTGGCAAGCTGGGCGATGGGAAAGAAGGAGAAGACGATGAGGAAAAAAGAGAAAGAAAGTGTTTGGACAGCTAGAAGAAGCGCAGTGAACTGGTGACAGAAAAGTGAAATGGTGTGCTTAAAGATGGCCCTGCACATTTAGAGGATGTTTGGCTCAACCTGCTGCTGTGAAGCAGGAATCTTCACCATGAACAGAATCAAAAATATCAATCCAGGCTCAAAATGAGCAGCTTGATATGTGCTTGAGAATGGCTTAGTCTCCATTCAAACCCAGGTTTAAAGCCATTAAGGGCAGCATAAAGCCCACTGCTCTCATTAAGCCAAAAAAATAAATAAATAAATACAATAACAAACGGTCAGTTCAGGTGTTTCATAAAATATGTGAATCAGGAAATTGTCTATTTACCAAATTGTTGTTCTCTATTTAAAAAAAACGTTAGATTTTAAAATGTTAAAATAAATTCTAGTTTTTTTATACTTTTTATTGAAATAAATCAATGTATAACATGGATGCATAAACACCTCATTTTATTTCAGTGTTAAATTCTGTTTAAAGTAACAGATTATAATTAAAAATGTCTCCAAACCTTTACTGGTTATTGATTTTCTTTATTTGGACCCCAGTGATTTTTAATTGGTTACCCGATTTTAAAGTCTCTACACTCCAGTTGACAATCTATTACTAAATTAGTTGACAAATATTTCAATAATGAATTACTAACGATTAATCCGATTCATTGTTTCAGGCCTAGTTTCTATGACTGTGTCAGCTTGGAAGTGTGAGAATGTCAACGTAAAGGTGCAAAGAAAAAAATCAGAAGACAGCTGATTCTAATGGCAAAAAGAAAATGGCTGGCCTGCGACAGCCGCTACCAGCACTGCCTCAGCCAGCGACCAAAATGTAGTTTCTGATGGAAAATAAATTAAAAAAAACACAGAAGTGTTGGATCGATCGGCAAAAAGAGGAGACGTCCAATGGGAGGAAGTCACTCTCCAAGAAGGCCCTTACTGTGGGTTAGCTAGGAGACCGCCTACCACCACAGTTTCTTCTTCTCGTCTGAAGAATAAATCTGAAAATGTGCATTATATAAGCTTTGATAACTGAGATATAAAATGTATATAGTTGTCGCTCTCAAATAAATTACTAAATTTGATCATTTTCTTAAGATCAATAAAATCAGTCTGAAGCTTAGAGATAAAAGCTTAGGTTTCAATCTCTAATCTATAACTCCGTGTTATCATCTGCAGGACAATGAAAGGGAAACAACCCAGCTGGATCTCAAAGAAAACCATCAACTAGTATCAGCCCAGGAAGGCCTGACCCACGGACCTCTAATTTGTATCATCAACCCAGACTTTCCATGATGCTACCGCTTTGCTAATGAGCCATGTGCGACGCTGAGCTCTCAGTTTGATGCGGTCTTCGTGGATCCAAACCAAACAAACCCACCTTCCTTGGGACAATGATCCATTTCTAATGAGGACCATCAAACACACGGGATTCCTCAGGAAGCCAAACATAAACCTGAAGATTTAACCGATAGCCCTAATTACTCTCAAAAATACTGAAACCTGCCAAGCGAGAGACAACACAGGATAATCAAAAACATTTATCCTCTTTGTTTATATATTTTCTTATTCTTTGTGTATAAAATGTGTAAAACGTGTGACCACTGCCTTACATAACTCAGTAAACAACTTACTTATGAGGACATGTGATTTTTGTTTACATGGCCCGTTTCTCTTTTGCCAAAGCGGTGCAGCAGTAGGTGTGATCATCCACAGATGAGTCTCATTTGCTTCCACATACTCACAGCAACGACACACAGAGGTGCCGTTTTAAGGTTATCAAATCACCACAAATTCAAACCCTGCAGCCGGTGAAGAGCTTCAGGGACACATGATGCCCGCTGCAGGGGCGCTTGTGGTTCACCTCGCCCAGCAGACACTCGATGACATCACTACAAATCCTGGCATTTACCCAGAGACAACTACGGGGTTTTAAAGGACGGACAAGCAGGGATGAGAGCTCGGTCCGAAGGTCTCACCTTGAAGTTTCCTTTTATCGGCCATGGCTGATCACTAAGATGATGTCTTCATGCCGTCTTTCACTGCGGGGGAAAAATAAAGGGAGATATATTAACCAGGAGAAATACCTCATTTTATTTTCAAGGACATTTCTGTGAATGTAGGTTATTTCTCTGGCTTTTCGTTTCGTAAACAGCAGTGAGTATAGTGTGTTGATATTAAAGCATCTTTTTGTGTAGCCTAACTGGTTGCACAGACTACAATCCTTCACCAAAACATACAACAAAACAGGAGAATCTACCATTAGAAGGATGAGATTTTTAAATAACGACGAGGATCTGACCTTTCACAGAGAGAACTGGTTTAATCAGAAGCTCTGGTTTGGATCTGGAACCACTTTGTTGGAAAAGTTCAACTGGAACCTTTAGATGAACTATCAAACTGACACCAATGTGGAAATAAAGCAACAATAAAAGTTCCTCCAAGAAATTGAAAATCAAACGCCAAGAATCCACCAAACAACTTCCTCCTCCATGGAGAGGCGACACGTTAACCTGTGGGGATGAAATGAGCTGAAGAGGCTCGTCTGCGCTGCCCGTGTCTCCATGCTGACTGGAGGATGAAAATGCAACGCTGCAGATTTTATATAGATACATCAGTCTAGCATTTACAGCACATCTAAAAAAAAAGTCTAATAATCTTAAATGAGTTCCAGACAGCAGAGTGCAGCACTAGGCCAGCAACTAACGATTATTTTGCTAATCGATTAATCTGTTTATAATTCTTTTTAATGTATTGATTAATAATCAGATAGCAAAGGGCTCCTTGAAGAAGATTTTTTTTACAGAATTAAACCAGGTGAAACTAAAAGTTTTCCACTTGTGTAGCTCTGGATATTGACAGATGAAAAAGCTTTTTTTTGTATCAAATGCAAAAACTTTTTTTTACAGTTCTGGTATAATTGCTCCTCTTAATGGATTTCTCTGCCAGCTAGATGCATGTTTTAAAGTCTGCATTCAATGATTAATAAATTGCTAAATTCATTGATGATTATTATAATTGATTAATCACTTTTAATTGTTTCAGCTCTAGACAGCCCATAACAATGAAAGGGTCAAAATATAATGTTTCACCTTTGTAGCAAATCTAAAACTAAAAGGTTTTGGTATGCATGTGTTCTGCATCATTGGTCTGATACCTCTAAATTAAATCCTGTTCAATTTACCAAATACACAAGCAGAACCTACCAAGTATTGTTTTGCATATTGACATATGAGGAGAGAAAAAATGAGTATAAGCAGACACAAACTAAAACTAATCATCCCTGCATGGGAGTGGAAGCATTATGATGTGGGGATTGATTGATTCCTCAGTGAGGACAGGAAAGTTGCTCAGATTTAACAGGGACCAAGAGGCCGACCCTGAAAACAAATATAAAACTTTTCAGCTACAGCTGGGCGATTTATGGGTGAAAAATCTAATCTCAGATTTTCCTCTACAAAATCTGATTAATCTTTTTTATTTTTCTCCCGTACATTTTTTCTAATAAAAAATGATAAATTGTATTTAATCATCAGCAAGGTGACTTCAAGCAGATTCAAGCAGTAAAGCCTGCTTTGACACAATCATTCTTCACTACAAACAGTGAAAATACAACAAAAAAAAGGTTTGCAGCTGATTTATAAGTTACTAGGCAGCATCTAAGAACAGAGCACGATGAACTGATGTCCCTCTGAGCTATGGAAGCCCAAATAGTGCATTGGTAAGAAAAAAAAAGAAGAAAAGTCTGATTTTCCAAAGGTTAAATCTTCATAAATAGAAAATTTGATTAATCGCTAAAACTGATTAACCTCCCAGCCCTCGTTTCAGCAGAAACATGCAGCCATAGCTGCAACTGGATGCTTTAGATCAAAGCTGCAGATGTGTGAAGACCTGCAGCAGAAACTGCAACAACAGACGCTTGTACAAGTTATTGACTGAGTGAGAATGAGAATGACTGCAGGTTAAATGGTTTAAACCTAATGTGAGAACATCTGTAAAGCGGGAAGCTTTTATCTTCACTCCTTTATGACACAAAGCTGCGATGTTCAATAACAAAAGAAAAACAACAGATAAATGAAACAAGCTTGCTGTTTTGATTTGACAAATTATTAGATGTGCAGCGATAGATCCCCCCCAGGATTTATAGGCCTAATGGAGGCGTTAAGCTGACAGAAATAAGCATTGTTACATGCATCATCAGGGGTGATCATTACGGTTTAAAGTCCTTTGATGAGCAACAACTGTCCCATTAAAGAGCCACTTTCCTCTCTAAATCTGGAAGTTTGTGATTCATGCAGCAGCTGCAGAAATAGACTCTAAATGAACAGCTTCTCTGGAAGCCTGTCTTCAAGATTTCCATTCAGTCAATCAAGCAGAAGCTGGAGTCAGAATCCCAGACAGAATTAGACTTCAGTGGACTGGACACACATCCAACTAACTGGACAGACATCTTGAAAACCTAAAGAGTGTTCAACCATTTCACAGATTCTAACTAACAATACATGGAGATGAACGTTCCCAGAAGCAGCAGGTTATCAGATTCCATTAAAGGCTTCAATCAGGAAATTCATTTTCCTGTCCTGTTTTAAAATCTGCTCTTCAACATCCAGTCAGACACAGAGCGGCAGAAATATCCCCCTCGGCTCCATGATTCTGATTTAAGCCTCAAATCCATCGCTTTAAAACATCCGACACTTGGAGAAAGGAGCGAGGCAGCCTGCTGAAGGAGATACAATCTTTCATACTTAACAGAAATTTTCTGCCATCCGGGACCAATGAAGGAAGCCGCTAAAAGACATCTCAGAACGTAAAGAGTCTGTCCTTTTATGCTCTGTTCTCACTTCTGATAGGAGAGAGAACGAAATGAGGAATCAAGAAGAGGAATACATCGACATGTAATAGGAAGAAACATTGCATTGAACAAAAAACCTTCACAGAGGAAACTGGTTTTAACAGCAGCTCTGGTTTAGATCTGGAACCATTTTGTTAACAAAGTTCAATTAGAACCTTGAGATGAACTATTAAACTGACAACAATGATACCAAAGTGGAAATAAAGCAACAATAAAAGATCCTCCAAGAAATTGTAAATTAAACACACAGAATCTGCCAAACAACTTCCTCCTCCATGAAGAGGCGACACGTTAACCTGTGGGAATGAGTTGAGCTGAAGTGGCTCGTCTGCGCTGCCCGTGGCATGAAGTGGGTTGTCTGCCCTGATCTTCTATAGATATATCAGTCAAGCATTTATAGCTCATCTAAAAACTTTTAATGATCTTAAATTAATCTGTTCATACGTTTTTTTGATGGATCAATTAATAATCGGATAGCAAAGGGTTCCTTAAATAAGATTTTTTGCAGAATTAAACCAGGTGAAACTAAAAGTTTTCTACTTCTGTAGCTCGAGATAAAACATATTGACAACATTTTATTTATTTTTTATTTTTTTTTACAATTCTGGTATAATTACTGCTCTAAATGGATTGCTCTGTCAGCTAAAGGCATGTTTAAAAGTCTCCATTTTCTGTTTTGCAATTAATCAATCACTAAATGAATTAATGATTATTATAGTTGATTAATTCTTCCTCCAAGGAGAGGCGACATATTGACCTGTGGGAATGATTTCAATGAAGAGCTGGGGGTTGCTAAATTCCTGAGGTTTAAATGTTGTGAGAGAAAAAACAAACAACAAGAAAACAAAAAGACCTGGAGCAGAGTGAATTCAGGAAGAAAGTATCCCTGAGTCAGGCTGGGCGATAAACCCGATTTTTACCTTTACCGTCATTCATAAGTTAATGTCGTCTGAAGAAATAAACATAATTCTGCCAAGAGCTTTGAATTAAACAAAAAGCTTTCAGACTGAAAAGCCTCAATTATTTGTTTACAGTAGGGTTATAATTACATTAAAATTGAAAAATTTACATTGATACTCAGGAAAATAGTACCCTACATATTACAGGAATAAAAAATACCAAATCATTATATATGTAAAAAAAAAACATGAAGAAATGCACCTTTTTCAACATGGAACGTTCTTTCTCAACAGAAACACAGATTCTATTAGTTAAAAGTAAAATAAACAACACTACAATTGCCCAATTAAAAATACCATATGGTTGTTTTAGGTGTTATTATGTTTATGTGTAGAATGTCTAGAAATCTAAAATTAAAGATAGAAAAATATGCAAACAACACTTGAATTAAGTATCGATATCGCTCTGTATCCGGATACAGTGTTTAATTATCGATACTTTTGACAACCCTAGATTAAAGAAATCTAAAAAGATATAAACTGCTTTAGCAATGACCAAATAATCCTTAAGTTAGCAAAGGGAACTTAATGAAAAATATCTACTTCCAAACAAAGAAAATGTTTCCATTTCTTTAAAGGAGGAGTTACAGAAAGAGTTGGGTGCTTCTCTGGCTGCAAGAAGCAAAGACTCCTCAATCTAAGGCTGCACACTGCCAACCAGCTGGCCAAAAGGAGGCTAATAAACGTTTTCTTAGACACAGTCAACACAGTAAAACTGAAGAGACTCCAACAACCTGAAAACATCCTTGTTTATCTCGGGACAACTTTGTTTTTCTGACAGGTGCACTACAAACCCACTGTCCTGGAAACACACATTCACTGTAGCCTGCTGAGTTTGAACCCGATCATCTCCAAAAATACTCTAAAGCTGAAAGTCCTGCATGATTTTACAGAAAAGCAGATGAGGGGAAAAAGTGCAGCGCGGATTTTACAACCGGGGGACGAGTGTTTGCTAGTCCGGGATGTTTATAAACAATGCGGGCATCAGCAGCAGCTAAAAAGGGGATCATAACAGAGCAAACACACTTCCAAAACAAACCCAAGTTCGTTTTTCACCGCCGCGCTTCAGGGATAAGTTTTAGTTTGCTGCTTTAAAAGCAAAAAACACTGGGTGTAAGTAGTTGTTGGTCAGAGAGCTGCAGCTTCCCACCGGCTGCGCTGTTTGATGTGGGAGACCCAGTTTGGAAACGGGAAAGAGGGGCAGAAGCACCTTAATCCAAACCCTTTCACTTCTGCTGCTAATTTACCTCCGTTTATCCGTGTTGAGATCTAGTTCCTCTGTCAGTTATCTCCAACAGATCCTCAGCACTTCAACAGTAAGGCTTATTTTTCGAAATAAATTTGTCAGTTCTTCTCGCTAAACAATCACCCTGCACATCCAAGATGGCTACCAGGAACACCTCCTCCTCGTCGGATGCCCTGTCGGCCACGATTCCGCCTATCTCGCCTGTGATTGGGCAACTTCCACCAAAACAGTTCTTCTATTGGTCAAACCCAGCCGTCCGTCACGACACCTGATCCAAGTACTTCCTGGCTAACTTGGATTATGATTGGACAGTTTAGAAAGGTTAAAAGTTGACTTGCCGCGGGTTTATCTGGGAAATTGAGTTTTGTTATTGTGTTAACTCATCCTGTTCAGAGCTGGATAGTAATGGTTATTGCAGATCCATAATCACCCTGTTCCAAAAATAAAGTTTTTTTGTTTTATTTTAGTCTGTCTAATATACAACTTCTGCACACTCTAAGCTTTATTTTAATTCAATGTTATATTTTTATGCAAATTTTTTTCATGTTCTATTATAGTATGAGTTGAATTAACATTGTTTACACTTGTGTGTACAAAATTACAAAATAAAATCTCTCTAAGTGTAAGTCTAAAGTCTATTTCTCCCCAAGGTTATAAACCCCAATTAAAAGTGATTTATCTCAAACCGCGACACTTCCATTGCCCTTTAAAAATAGCTTGTAAATTTATAGAAACACTTCATATATAATATTTGCCAGTTAAGGGGTGACCTTTTATTCCCATCTTTAGGATTTTCATAAATTAATGTTATTTATGGACTTTAAAAGGGATCATTTTTTTATGTCCTTAAATAAAGAAGCCTGCAAGAAAAACAGGCTTCTCTGTATCTTTAATTTTATTATTTGATCTTTTTTTTAGATATTGCATGAACTCAGCTGAAGTTAACTGTGTATAACTGTGAATAATGTTTTATTTTTATAGCAGTGGCACTATATCTGCAGCTAAAGCTGTTTAAACAGGAGCAGAGAGCAAGTTTTGGTATTGACCGTGTTCTAATATCTCCTGTTACTGCAACATGGGTTTTAAACCACTTCATATATACTGTATATAGCTAATTGTGACCAAGGATCAAGTTATTTTACCAACATTTGCTTTTCATCCTTTACAGCAGCATCCAGTTGATTTCCCAATCAATAACAATATAAATTTTATTTTTTGTCTTTTTTTTTGTATCTCTCAAATTCAATTACAATCTTTTTGCACATGTTTCACGATTATTTGAATCTCTTTTGACCTTTTCCAATAATTGAACACCTTTAATGTACATATAACACCTTTTTGTTAATACACATTACCTAAAACTGTAGGTGAAAGCTCAGCGACTGGTGAAATTTATTTAATATTTATTTACTGGGGAATTCGATCAGGAGAAAATCTTGCGCATCTCCACAGTGCTTTATTTACACCCATCAAATGTCCCTCGTTGACTCCAATGGTAAATATATGGATGTTTTATGTTTTTGTTGTCATACTGATCACTAAAAGCCTTTACATTAGCTGCCTTCATTCATTCAAACTCACAAATGTGAATGGATTTGTAGACCGATTAGTAGTCAGCTTAGGGTTAAGTGCCTTGCCCAGAGGCACATCAGTGTGTGAAAGGAGGAAGTTGGAGTTTCCATTGACCCATAGTCTAAGAGAGTTTTTATTTCCACCAGAAACACAGAATAAAACAAAAATAATATGCTTTTAATTGGATAATTTTGTTTATGTTTCCTCAGTTAAGAGACATTGGCTTTTTATGCTTGTGTTCCGTTTTAAAGGTACAGCCAAAGTTTGCACATATTTTGTTGTTTTATTGTTGAATAGTTTCATTTCAATGACTGAACCCAGGTTTTTCACCTTTTTTTTGTCCCGTTCGTGATCACCATAATTCAACTGGCTTTATTGAGCAGACTGTCTTAATCAGTTTATTCACTTTTACCTTTTAATACTGTGGGGAAAAAACACATTTATAAGACCCGTGTTAAAAACATTTTTCACATCCTTATACCTTTTTACTGTTGCTCTGAAAAATAATACCATTCTAGTGATTTGTAAAGTGAATATTTAGTTAAAACAATGAACATAATTTCTCTCTTTCTTATAATGCAGTTTAAACTATTCATTCAACAGAAAAATGTTGGTGTACTCTCTCCCTCTGCTGGTTGGATTTTATTGTGATCAATGAAAAAAAGTCATTCATTGATTGGACTTTTAAAGGCTTTCAAATGCTGCAGGCTACTCTGTTGCTGACGTCCTTCCTTTGTGAATGTTGAACTTTTGAACTTCTACATATTTACCCTGTCCTGCTTTTAAATGGATCGAGTCCTAAAGTCTGTACATCACATCCCTATAAAAAGAAGAAAGCCTAAGTTGAAACTGTTGGAACTAATGACATTTTTTCCCCCTGCTTCTAGAAAGATTTTTGTGCTCCAGAGATGAACTTATGGAAATAATAAAATTGATTTCTTATATTACAGAATTAGAACAACAAGGCTAATATGAAGAATATCTTTCTCTCAAAAAGGAAAACTAGATTAAATAGTCGGTATAATAACTCTTCTGTTTTATTGCATTACAGTAAAACAAAAGTCCTTCAGGCAGTATCAATGGAAAGATGCACAGAAACTTAAGACAAATTACTTTTGCAGAGTTCCATTCTGTCTCAGGCTACAGCTGAACTTTAAGCCAGTCTAATGCACTTTATCTTCTGCAAAATGTACATGTTGGAAATTGTATTTCCTGAAAATGTTAATAAGCTGACAGATAGTTTTAATTAAAATGTAAGGTTCCTGGTTCTGCTACTCAATGTTTCCAAACAGGTAAAATTTGCACATTTGTTGTTTTTGATGTTTTTTTTTTTTACATTGACTAAAATATTATATAACATCCTTTTCAGATCAATTAGATGAAAAACTATGAAATCCTCACTGTTGGTTATTTTAGACATTACTGACGAAACCCTTCAGCATCACTTCCTTTGGCTGAGACAGCTCCAGGAACATTTGATTCCTGCTTTCATCCAATCTTTATTGCATGACTGCTTCTATTTAGTAGTCTGATTTTCTTTCTTTTCATGTGAATTAATCTACTTTTCTTTTTTTTCCTCTGGATTAAAATCTAATTTCTCTTGGAAGAATTACATGAATTTCATTTTGAACAGTTATGCCATCTTTTTTTTTTATTCTGCACATTAATCTTAGAAATTAAATTAAATAGTTGACATTCTGCTGGTCTCTTCAAGCATCATTCAGATTTAATCTGCATTTAGATTTTGTGCAGCAAAGAGGAAAGTCTGTTACAAATTTAAAAAGGCTTTCAGATTGTGTTTAGATGTAATAAACCATAAATTGTGGTCAGAATTGTTAATTGATAAACATTCTGTCAGAGATTATTCAACATTTCATCAAGAATTCATAATTGCAACAAAGTGGAACTTACCCAACATGAAAATATCTAACTTCATTCAGGCTAGAGTAGCTAGTTTGGGCATCAGACTTTTACAAAAATAGTCACATGCATACCAGCTCATGGTTTGGAGAAATGTAAATCTTTCCTTAATATTTGTCAAGTCCAACAAAGCAGTTTAGCACTACTTTGATTATAGCTATGGTACAAGGTTTTATCATTACGGAATTGAGCTTTCACTTTGGTACCGATAGAAACTGGAATTATGGTAACGGAAGTTAGCTTGACGAATGGAGAAAAAAGATGAAAGAAAAGTATGAAAAGGTTCAGTGTTAAAAACGCAAAACGCCATGGAAAAATGCTTAAAACTTCAAGGTTTAGCTTCGGTCAATTGGGGAACAAAGTTTGTAAATTTAAAAAGAGGCATTTTTTACACCATATATCAGTCAGATGCCATAAATGCAGAAGGAAAATTTAACAAAGAAGCTGATGCGTGCAACAAAATAAATAATATAACAAAAGATGCAATTTAAACATTTATTTTTCAATAAACCACAGATTCTTGTGTGTATACATTCAGGGCCAAACAACTTAAAATATATTTTCAATCCTTTTATGAACAAAAGCAAAAGTACAAAAAAAAAAGGCTCAGACAGTGAAGACCACTGTGTTACATAAAGTGCCGCAGGTGAACGTCAAAGAAAAGATTCCCTCACAGTAAAAGCTCCCAGAAATGTGAAACAAAAATTTCATCTGATTGATTTGTTGTATTTAAAGCAGATTAAGGTTCGATTACTGGAACCTTTCCCATGACCTTCTAATGAAGGATTCAGTTCCTGAACCTGTAGGAAATAGGGAGTAACTTGTTGGTCTTCTTCATGCTCTGGACTTTAGCATGAGTCTCCTCATCCATGGCCTTGTAGCATCGCCGGGCATAATCCAGAAGCTTCTCCTTGGAGGCCTCAAACTCTCCTACTTCAGTCACCTGCAGAGAGGGAAAAATAAAATCCATCTGTGTCCACACTGGTGAAAGGTTTTTTCAAGCTCTGATCAGAGAAAATGACAGTAAGATGAAAAATGATTAAACAAGTATAGTTTAGGAGTAGAGAGTGGCTGTGCAGATGTTTTAAACAATGTTTATTTCTTTATTTTATGTTTAGGCAGCAGACATTCCTCTAGCCCGGTGTCCCTAAAACTGGGGTCTCCGGACCTCCAGGTGTCAGCAAACCACAGGTTAGGTGTCCATGAAACACATTGCTTAGTAGAGCCTGAGGAGACACAACTCGTCCACTTCACCAAGTAAGGCAAAAGCCAAATCAGCTAATATATATATATATATATATATATATATATATATATATATATATATGTAATTCCTAAAGTATTTAAGAGTACAAAAGGCTGTATAATAAATACTGTCAGCATGAGGAATCTAAAGGGCTCCTTGTGAAAAAAAATTAATTCCTGTTGCTAAGGGGTCACTGGCCACAAAAAGTTTCAGAACCCCTGCTCTAGCCTATTACTGTTGACATTTTTAATAATCAAATGTGCCCCAGGAAGCACATTTATAGTTCAGATCTCGTTATTAACCAAATCACACATTGTGCAATTAGAGCTTATAGCATAAGGAAACTTAACTCAGAACACAAAAATTGGCTGTTAGGGCTATCAGCTGTCAGCCGTCTCAGATAATTAGGCCTCCACTTCACCTTGCACCG